TTGGAGATTGCAATTTAAAGTCTGAGTGGGCTGATAAGCTTGGCTATACTTTACCAGAGTAGATGAACTCGAGGTTAACATTTTCAACCATGGTGTGGATCTTTGATAGTGACTTGTTTGACGTACTACGTGCATGCATAGTGAAGAAGTATCCCCGAGTTGGTGTGTTCAAGATTCGGTCTCTAGAGTGAAGTTATCGTCGGATCCCCTTTTCGATAACATTAATCTACACCATTCACATGCCATAGATGAATCATTATTCTTTTGTCACCGGCCCAACTTGAACATGACCGCAAATTCATTACAACAAGCCCTCGACTTGAATTGCCCTGTTTCATGAATGGTATACAACCTAACCGCCCTAACAACACATAAATCGTTACGTCGACCTCTTTGTCTGATACAACTCCCTTTGAGGCTATAATTCGACAATGGCCTTAAACCTTTAACCGCAAGTCCCGAGGTTACCAACAAAAAAAAAAAGAGGGATGCCTCCAGCAAGAAAAACTCCTTTTCCCTGTGTCGTCTAGTTCAACGACAGCAGGTCCCAGTATATACACGAAACTCCTCCCAGGGGTGACAACACCGTCTCGCACACAATCATGCCATTACTGACATCTGGGACTGCTCTCCTTCTGTTGGTTGCGACGTCACCTCACATCCCTGGGAAAAGAAGATGCGCGCGGGCTTGTCGTAGTCGTTTGTTATGCTGTAGTAGTTTCCTGCATGGTATGTTAGTCACTAGTAGTCTTTAATATGAAAAGATCAACACACCTCTTGGTACAAACCACATGCCTCCAGCGGAGAGCCGGAACGAAGCTTCGTTGACGGTGACGAGCACCTTTCCAGAATGCAGAAAGAAAACCATGTGCATCTTGCGTGAGTTCTTTGGGCGCTTATCAGAGCCCGGGGGTAGATCGACAATACCAGCACCCATAAACGGTGTTGTGAGCGTCTTGGCGAAACGGAACGTCGTGTCGTGAATGTCCTTAGTCTGAATGGCGTTACCCGCTATCGCCACACGATCCTCCATGACTTCAACAGGCTCGTCGTCGGCCGGGGGGTGTAGCTCGTGCTCCGGTTCCCACAGGATGACTTCGCCATTGACAACGCCTGGGTTGAGCTCCCAGTCCTCAAGTTCAACCTCTGGAGCGCGCTTGGCCTTGCCCTTTGAACGGCCCTTGGCCTTCTTAATGGGCGCCTCCTCTTGAGGTTTGCGGATAACCTCCTTGATGGTGGTCAGCACAAACTTATCCCTGCCCGTCACGCCGTCAAACTCTTCCTCCTCCTGGACAACCTTGTCACCTCTCCACCAGTCTAGAGGCTTGAAAGAGTGACGGCCAGATCTTGTCGTTCGAACCTCTTCTGCGTCGTGACGAACAGACACCAGACCGCGCGACTTGGGCATTGGGGGACCGCGCTGAAGAGCAGCGAACGAAGTCTCTCCAGCTTCCTCCGCTGGAGCTTTGCTGCGTGGTGGCCTTCCTTTGGGCCTGCCTGGAGCTTTTGATGCTGCTGCCTTGGCGGCAGGTTTTGAAGGCTTGACGGCGGCAGTACGCTGTTTCTTGGCTTGAGGAGCGCTCTCTTCAGGCTCTGGCTCTGAGATCTCATCTTCAGGTTGTTCAACATCTTCTGGCTCCGGTTCCGGCTCTGCTCTTCGTTTTCTTGATGCTGGGGCTGCTTTGGGTTGCTTAGGTTGAGGGGCAGGCTTGTTTGGTTTCCTTCCTCTCTTGGATGCTACAGGCGCGACAACTTCCTCGGGCTCCTCCTCAGCAGATTCTTCCTCGACTGGTTCCTCCGGTTGTTGTTGCACAGGCTTGGGCCTTGGGGGTCGTCCCCGGCCCTTCTTAGCTGCGACGTGCTGCTTTACGGGAGGTTCGTCTTCTTCTGAAGGGGGTTCTGAGTGCTCGGGTTCAGGCTCGGGCGACAGTGAGTCTCCATGCATAGCCTCGACCATCTGTAGAGACTGCTCCAGAAGATCCATGTTGTCTGACACCTCTTCTTCCTGCTCAGGCTCGTCGGTGTCCTCTGTCTCATCTGCATCCTCGTCCTCCTCAGGCAGTGAGCCGTTGATGCCATTCGCGCCACCTCGTGCGCGTCCAGACTTGGCTCCAAAGTCGAGTTTTCGCGTTACGGTGGGATCACGCTCTTCGGCAATGGAGCGTCGCGTAGGTGACGAGAGGTGTTCCAGGTTTCGATTCCTTCGGGCAGGAGATAGTAATTGCGTCTTTACGGGTGACCGACTGCGAGGAAGAGGGTACGGCATGCTTCGCTCTTTAAGCAGGGTTTGCGGGCCCGGTCCTGCGCCTGTGGTCATGTTAGTCTCTGGTGGTGCTTGTGTGTGTACGGCAAGAGCTGGCGCACTCGTCTCAATGTCCATATCCTCGCTGCCTTGGTCGTCGTCATATTGATCATCATCGTCATCGTCGTCGTCTTGTTGATTGGCTCTGGAAGGTCCCCTCTCTGGCGAGGAGAGTAGGTCATCCAGCGGTTGCATGCCATACTCGTCGCGCTCTCCGGTATCGATCAATTCCACGCCAGTTTTTCTGGTAATTCCATGTTAGAAATCTGAGATTGACGCGCATGGTGGAAATGTCGAGATTCGCGGGCGCAAACTCACCGACCACGGACACCGAGCTGGTGGAAAGCTTGCGGCTCGGCAGCCTCGCTGCGCCTGGGGCCACCGCGGGGGGCCATGATTATAATGTCGTCTGTGGTCTTTCCCGAAATTCCTTGGCTTGGAGGGCCTGCGTCGTTTGGTAGGTCGCGATGTTGGCGTGCGAGGGCGAAAGTGGGATGCGACGAGAAATACAAGACGCGCCGGGTGACGCGGTTGGTGTTGGTGTTGGTGTTGTTGAAGATGGGCCGGGAGCTTGGGGCGTGTTTAGAGGGTCCCCAGTTAATGCTCGCCCAGTGGATGCCACACACTGGCACAGTGGGCCAGGTACCTCGAGGTAGTACCATTACCACCACAACGCACCAATCAACGATTAATACGCCGAACAACAACTTGACAACAACAATGCAAGTGTACAATTGCCTACGGACTCTTGAATCTTGTCTAGGCATTGGATGTGATCTGTGATTCAATTCTAGGCTGAAGTCATCCTGTGATTTGCCGAGTAGACCCGTCCATGCTTGAAGGGTAACATGCATAAAGTACTCGAACGCCTCGAAACCATCTGAAAGAAACAAACTAGAAAGTAATTGTAGTTGGAGATTCTTGACGCACGTAATCAGTAGCAATTTGAACATTGCTTTTCTCTCGAAGCGTCTTAGACGAGAGTATCGCGGCCAAGGCTCCGGATCCACACCAGAGGTTCAACATTAAATTCGATTGATAATCTATGTCGAGAGCCATGGTATGTCATGACACATAAAACCTAGAGGCGCTATTCTCATAGACAGAAGAATCACGAGGCCTACAACAGACATGGTTCGCTGATTCGGAGCCAGTTACAAAGCCCGTGTTTTTCAAACCATCTAGTTTGACATGTGTCAAGAATAGCCTCGAAATTCATTACTTTCTCGTCTGTACAGCATCTATTTCTAATATCGTAAACGCAACTAGCTTTGAGGAATCATATGGATCCATTCATAATGGCATTGATTATTAGGACACTAATAGATACACTACTAAACAACCAACTTACACTCCACCACTAATCATCATCCCACGACCGGAGCTTACTGCAATACTCTGGATTTGGTAACCCCCTCACCTTCGTCTCAATCTCTTCATCCTCAATCATCTCATCAAACAAAGCCAGATCAGCAGCCCTGTGATCACTGACGTCCTGAGCACCCAGCGCATCCATGAGAGCGTGTGGTTCCGTCCACGAGGAACCAAAGTCGACCAACAGCCCGTTTCGAAAGTTGTCTATCCGAATGTCCTTGTTGTAGATCTTGAGCTTGTTGAGTTCTCTGATGCCTTTGAGTATCCTTTTTGCACTCTTTTCGTTTACCCCTGGGTCTCCTGGCACATAGTCCTTGACGATGGCTCTAGGTCGACAACCACCTTTGACGGTTTGCTGAAAGCCGATGTCGACATCGTCTCGGCCAAGATCGATCCCTCGATTTTTCAATACTCTCTCATCCGCCTTCTTCAGGAACATGTAACCGTGACAAGGAACTGTCACATCCTTCAACTTGCCTCTCCTTCTGACACCTTCGATTCGACCGTAAGCTCGACACTCGGCGAAAAAGGGGTCGGTATAGTAAGCCGCCGTTTCTAGAGGTGTGTCTTCACCTAAGAGAGGACCCCAGTAGTACTCAGAGCTCCAGGGGTCATAGAACTTGAACTGCTCAGGTCAGAATCTTGCGGTTTATACAACGGGGTCGTACGTACTACTTTGATAGCGTATTGCTTCTTACGTATAATCACCCGAAACACGTAACCCTCGGTTCCGGCGCCGCCATCCCTGTCGTCTAGCCTCTCCATCCATTGTATTGGTGATCGATGATGCTGGAACTGGTGAAGTTTCGGACCCGCGCAAGGCGGTAGGTCGTTGATGGACGAGGTCTGTGTTTGGGAACGCTTCCTCGGCATCTTGAGGTGTGGACAGGTGTCTATAGCCTCACCAACCGGACAGCTCAAAGATAATGCCCTCATGGTAGTGCCCCCTTGATGATCGCTTGAGCTTGACTCCAGCGGCTCCTCCCACCTCTCGGAGACTAGGGAGCATCCGACGTGCATGGCGTGACGCTTCAGCGGCGGGGTCTCGGCCAACCATGGGCGTGTATGCTGTCTCATTCAGCTATCATCACCAACACGCAGCACCCGTGATGCCGTGTCGTGGGCCTCAGGTCAGCTCGGCTTCCTAATCAGATGGTAGCGCCGGGTATCTCGACAGCCTCGTCTGCGATTTGCGTCTTTTAAATAGCCCCCTGTCTCGGAATGGACCTCGACTGACCGATGTGATCTGTGCTACATTCCACAGGTCGTACGCTCTCGTAGTATTTATACCCCTCCTCCCATATTCCCTCTTCCCTTCCATGATATGGAATCTCGTCCCCCGGCAACCTCTATCTTTGAACTCCTTACTGCAAAGAACCCCGAACTTGTTCAAATTGAGCCTGCTAACAAGACGCTTACACATTCGCCGCACTATTTCTATCCCAAGGAACTCCAACCATGGGACGAGTTCAACTTCGAGACCCTGGAGGACATCTTCGCGGGTGCTCTGCTGCGTGAGGCCCGCCAGAACGGCCGCTCTCTGCCAGCATATCCAACCCTCATCCCCAAGCTCGATTGCGTTATCACCGAAGAGGATTCGGTAACGAGCTTGATCGTGAAATGGAACGAGTCAATTGTCAACATGGCTCTGATATCTGTTCAAGACCAATTCAACCCGAGCCTTTGGAACTCCAAGAAGAGAAAGCACGAGAAGCAAGACGCCGAACCTTTGCCAGCCCGCCGGGGGAAGCGTAGACAACCACCGAGGCGCAGCTCCCAATCGAATCGCGTGCAAAAGCCGAAGAAGCATCGCCTGTCCGCGCTGAGACCCGACTCTGGCGCCGTGTACCATGCCTTGTCACCAGAAGAGCATGCCTCCCCAAAGACTAAGGAGAGGTTCCCCAAGGAATATAAGCCGGCAACGAAATGGTGCAGTGAAAAGTTCTTCAGAAGCGGCTTCCTCAATAACAAGGGGAAAGTGAGGAAGGGAATGATCATGCAGAACTATTGCATGCCGATAAGGCAAGCCTTCACCTACTGCGTCACCCACGCCTGTCGTTACGGATGCATCTTGACCTGCGGCGAGGCCTTTATTTTCCGAGTGAGGCCACGGGCAGCATCTCCTAGTTCGTATTGGGAATCTCGAAATTTGGCAAGTTTTCAAGCTGACGAAACTAGAGAAAAAAGCGGCTGAAAGTCAGGAGGCACTAACAAAAAGCCTCAGGGATGATGGACTCCTCGAGTACGTCTCGATCCCCTGGGCGAACCACTACCAAGGCGATATCGACAGTTACAAAGACTTGACTGTGAACCTGGCAATGTGGTTTGTACACGTCCTCGCTGGGAATCAGTATTGGGTCGACTGGAAGTACTGTCCCCTGACTGAGGAGGAGCCAAAAGCAGGTCGGCTGTCTGAGGCGACCACAGAGCCGAGCTTTGAGTCTCGAGAATCTGAAGATGAGTCAGATAGCTCTGAGACTACCGCGCCATTGGGCTACACGCCTGTTTCTGTGAAGGATGGGGAGTTTTCAGTGGGAGAGGATGCAATTCATTGGTCCTTCTCGGAAAGGCACGACTTTACCAAGTAGGCATGATCTGTCTCGCACCAAAGGGAGATCAATACACGATATTTAAGCAATGCATCTTTCAGATTTGTGGAGTTTTGGTCAATCTAGATCGTTCATGAGGTTGTTTTAGTTTGGCCCCCTGGCTCCTGCCTTTACGCACCCCTTAAGTCTCGTTCCTTCCTCTAGGATGCTTGCGCGTTGCTGCCTCCCTGTATAAGTCGGAACATGTGATCACAATTTACCAGTGTCTGGGTCCCAACTCTTGGTTTCCATTCGAGATTCTCCAAGACTTGCCAACCAACGGCATTCTTTCAACACCAGTACGCCTTCATTATCTGTGCTATTATCATCATGTCAGAGCCTTCCGAAAACCACTCTCCTCCGTCAGACATAAATTTCTTCATGGTTGACGACGAATACCCCAGCTCGTTTCCGACCATAGAGATCAGGCATTCCAGTTCCGATTTGTGCGCTACTTGCTCAAGCCTGCCACTAGAAGCAGTTCTTGGGGGAGTTACACCATCGATCAACCTTCGAATAAAAGTTGCCAACGTTGGAACCTATTACCAGAAGCAGCCGGCCTATCCTCCTTGTGCCCTGTGCAGACTGTTGTGTGGCTCGCGCATAGACTCTCCAGAGCTTACAGAGAAACTCAACAACAGACAAGGCGGTGAGGAGCTTGTTGCATTGAGCTTTCTCCGTCACTGCTACAACACTATCGGTCATGGGACGCCAGCTACTTGTGGCAATGACTCCATCATGTTGGCTCTCGCGCCATCAGGTTTCCAACGCAGCAACGTCCATCCTCTACCTTCTATTCGACAGGCCCTGGAAGAAGGTGCAAAGAACAAAGGGTGCCTGGTTGCTCGATGGAGCGATAGCCGTGAGCCACCGGGTATCACGGCCCGAATCGTTAGTCAAGAGTTTGACGAGTTGCTGGCCAGATCATGGATTACTTATTGTCAACATCACCATGAGTCCCTGTGCTCAAAAACTGGTGGGGAAGTTGCAGGGCTTCGCTTGATAGACTATCAATCACTTGAAGTGATTTCAGCTCCGAAACATGCCCCTTACGTCGCTCTGAGCTACGTATGTGGTTCCTCTCAGATGGAAGAGTTGCCTTTCAGATTTGGTGGCATCGCAGAATTCGGTGACCTAACCTCGCTCCCCTACACCCTTGCTGATGCTATTCGGGTTACTATCAAGCTGGGGTTCCGTTATCTCTAGATGGATCTGTGCTGCATCGACTAGGAGCACGAGGAAGCCAAACAACATCAAATGGAACAGATGAACCTGATATATCACAACGCAGAACTGACCATTATTGCTGCTGCCAGGAGCGATGTGCAATACGGGCTGCCAGGAGTGGGAGCGGGATACCGCCCACGGATCCCACAGCAAGTTGTCAAGATTGGCAACATCGAAATAGTGCCCACCATGAGGCATCCTCACTCCGCGATCCAAGTGTCAGAATGGTCGACAAGGGCGTGGACTTTCCAAGAAGGCATTCTGAGCCGCCGCTGCCTCGTCTTCACCAACGACCAAATGTACTTTGAATGCGATGGTATGAACTGTCATGAGAGTGTCACGAATGTGCCAAAAAGGAACGACCATTGGAGCAACTTGGAATACTGCCAGCAAATTGAGAACTCGCTGGATGAACTACATGCTCTACACAAGCGCGAATCCGACCGTACATTGCGACCTGGAATCCTGGGATGGAACGACAAGCACCGCTTTGGCCAACCTGACCGTCCAGGCTTACATGCCGCTTTTGTGCAATTCCTGGAAATGATTCAGGCATACTCGGCCAGGGAACTAATGCGTCCTTCCGACGCCCCCAAGGCATTCTATGGCATCGCCAGCAAGTTTGAAGTAATTCCGGACAGGATCGACCAGATCTGGGGCATTCCTTTCTATTGTAACGAAGAAAGGACCCGGGAGGAGACCTTTGTGGCCGGGCTTGCTTGGAATCACAAGGCAAGGGCGGGCTATGACCTAGATGGGCTGCCCATGCCAAGAGGCATATTCCCGACTTGGTCATGGATGAACTGGTCCGGCGAGGTCGAGTATCGTGAGCTTGATCTGTACAAAGACAGACCTATATCCGCCTTTAACAGTGCTGTGGCATCTGTTGTCCTGGAAGCCGACGACGGAGAACTTCTCACCATTTCAGAATACCTGGAGATTCCCCAAGCTGGAATCAACCGTTCTGAGACCCCAAAGGCAGTCCGGTTAGAAACATGGGTTTTCCCACCAGCTACTGTTGCCGTCACCGAGAGCTCTCACTTGACGTTGCTTGGGGATCCTGCAAGTCTACATACATCGATCGTAGATTTTCTATTCAACCCAGGTCTGGCGAGTCTGGCCCAGAGGGGGTTGGAGTTTGAAACGGAATGGATATGCATTTATCTGGGCTCTGTCGAGAGCAAGAGGATCTGCTTGGTTGTCCGCTCGTCGTGCGACGACGGCTGGGAGCGGGTAGGTCTGCTCTTTTCATGGTCCGACCGAGTAGACGAGTGGTGCGCGAACAACCCTCGGCGGAATGTTCGCCTTTTATGATTTGACATTAGATGAGCTTTGCCATGGAAGACGTGGAGGCAGACAGCGATGAGATTGGATTATGTTGTACGTGATAGAATTGAAGCGATGTTAGTGGGTTATAGGTACGTACCGATGGAGTGGAGTCAAGGTGCTTAACGCGTCTCGACGCGTCTCACTCAACTCCAACCTCATCATGATAGCCTAGTACTCAAATAAACTACTTGACCAACACACATCTCCATTCACCAATTGACCTTGGCATCAGTTGTGATATACGATAATTCCAACCTTGGTACTCACAAATTCGACTCGACCCTCCATCATGACAAACTCACCATCGACCGACGATGTCCAAATGGACGCCCCTGTGGACGCTCCCATCGACAACACTCCCTCCTCTTTGACCTATATCCCACCCTCAGTTCACACCGAAGCCGCTCTCGCCGGGGACACATTCACTCACGTGGTCGTACCGCCTTCTCTCCTCCCATCCTCCCCCGATGATCCCGCTTCGGCCGTCCCTTGCTGCCTCGGCGTCGATGAGGCCGGTCGCGGTCCCGTCCTTGGCCCCATGGTCTACGGCGTCTTCTTCCTCCCGCTGACCATCTCGGACTCTCTCCTCCGCGACACACATCACTTTGACGACTCCAAGGTTCTCACGGCTGCCGTCCGATCCAAGCTCATGCGCACCCTCTGCACACCTGGTTCTGACCTGCATACCGAGTGCGGGTGGGCGATCAAGGCTCTCTCAGCGAGGGATATCACCACTGGCATGCTCCATCCTACGACGACTTATAACCTCAACGCTCAGGCGCTGGATGCTACCGTCGATCTCATCAAGGCTGCCTACGCCGCTGGCGTCAACGTCCAGGAGATCTACGTCGACACTGTCGGACCCCCTGCTTCCCACCAGGCCAAGCTCCAGCGCTTCTTCCCCACGGCAAAAATCACAGTAACAAAGAAGGCCGACAGTTTATTCGCATGCGTCAGTGCTGCTTCGGTATGCGCCAAGGTAACCCGAGACGCGACACTGGAAGTGCTATCCGACGCAAAGGGAGAGCTCACCGAGAACGGCATGGGCTGGGGATCTGGATACTCGTCTGACAAGCGATGCACCGGGTGGATGAAGAACAGCATGCACCCGCTGTTTGGATGGGGACACGAGTGCCGGTTTGGTTGGGGGACGTCCAAGGATATGCTTGAGAAGGCGAATGGCGTCAAGGTTGAGTGGCCGGTAGAGGATGATGGCGAGACGAGTAGAGTTACAGACTTTTTCACTGCGGCCGACAAGGATAAGGAGTCATCGGAGCTGGGTAATTGGTTTGGTACACCCGCAGGCTTGGAGGCGTTCTAATTGCTTGGGGTCATGTTGAAGCGTCGCAAGAGATATACATGGTTGGTAATGTCATGATAAAATAGGGGCGCAATAGAGGAACATGTTTTTGGTAATCAAGTAGACATTATATCCTGTTTCATTCGCTATTCATGCCCGGGCAAGGTCTAGGTAGTTACACAACTAAACAATAGAAAAAGAAATTGACCTTTTTTTTCCTGGATCAATCACATCAGATATCATCGATGTCGTCGTCCTGCTGCGAAGAGTTGTTGTTGTTGACCCTTCTCCCCCGGCTATCCAACGTGTCCATGCTAATGTTGTCCGTGTCGTTGCGGGCAGGCATGCCAACCGCCTGGCGCGCAGTGTCCGAGTTGGTGATGAAGTCGCGGAGCTGCTGCTTGGCAATCTCGACGCCCTGCGTCGCCGCCGCGTTGCCCATCGACATCATAGGACCGAGGAGGTTGAGAGTGTAAGCCACGTATGTGCCTCCTGCGAGGACGAGGATGAGAAGGCAGAGGAAGGGGTTGCGCAGAACTAGAGGAATAGTTAGTAAACATCACGTTGATGAACAATCGTAGACACGTACCCATAAAGATCTCGTTCCAGCCAAGGGCCAGGAGCAGGCCGTAAAAGTACCACGGAATCTGAGCCACTCCGCCGATGGCTCCACGCTTGGCCTCGACGTAAACTCCGTCGGCCGTCTTCTTGAATCTCACCACGAGATCCTGGCGCTTGCCCTCGCTGAGAACAGTCATCTCCTCCTCGAGGCTCTTGCCGTCCTCCTCATCGATGCCTCCGATGGGCGCCAGATCCTCCTCGTCGCTGGCCTCGGCACCGCTTGGCTGTGCGCCAACAAAGCCAGGTAGGTCGGGTAGGCTGTTCGTCTCAGAGAGTCTGAACTTGGACAGCAGAGGGACCAAGGTGAGCGTCGACTCCCGCGCCTTGGTATAGATGCCCTCAATGTCATCGGTGGGTCGCCATATCCGTGGCACACCGGCCTCATCGTATCGGAACTTGTCCTCAAAGTTCTCTCGAAGCTTGAGCAGGATGTTGCCTTCCATCACCTCGTCCTCAATCTTTTCACGGAGAGCAGTCCAGCTCTTTCGGCGTAACCGCCATGTGCCAATCTCGACCTCCTCGTTGGTAGCATCGAAGCTCTTGGCTCGCTCAGCGAAGCGGCCCTCGGCCTCCTTGACGATGCCCGTGAAGGCATTCCAGACTCTGTCCCAAAGATCCTTTTCAGTAGGGGGCTTCTCGCCCGTCTCTGGCGCGCCTGAGCCACCTCGGCCACTGCCCAGCTTGTTGAACTCTAGACCAATCGCATCATTGAGTCTAGACTTGACCCATCGCTCAACCCGTGTCGCAAGTCGTCGCATCTCTTCCTTTCGAAGCTTGGCGCTCTCCTCATCCAGCTCCTTCTCGAACAGGGTGAGCTGCGACTCAAAGTTAGTCCAGGCGGCGCCCTCAATGAACAAGCTCTGCGTCTCGACGCCAAAGATGTCCAGAGTCTTGCGCTTCTCATTGGCGACAATCTCGGCGAATTCATAGGCGCCGCCGGCCTTTTGACCAGCCTTGACCTTGTTGGCAACTGCTTCGCCAAAAGCAGCGACGCCGGCCTTGTGAGCCGCCGCCAGCTGTCCTTGGTAGAGAGCCTTGAGTCGAGCGTCGATCTTTCCTTCAAGCTCATGCCTCTTGCGACTATAAACGCCCTTGTGATAACGACTAGCTTGCACCTCAAAGGCCTTGATGCACTTCAGGCGAGCCTCGCTTCCAGATACACCGAGGTCAGGCAAGACGGTAGGAACACCCAGGGTCAATGCCTCGGCCTGCTTATCCTCGAGGGGCGCCACAATGAGATCAAAGTCAATCAAGACCTCCCTGGAAATCTCGTCGCAGCGGAACTGGGCCAGAAGCTCTTGCTGGGTGGGCAGATCGAGGTCCTTGTTGTTGACGATCTGATCCCAGATGCCCTCGGCGTAGACGGAAAACCCGTCGGCCGGGATGCGCCGGTGGTACTCGGCGAGGAAGAGGCCGCCCTCGAGCTCTTGATCGCCATGCAAGCCCGGCTTGCCGTGCCGGTGGCCCGCGGTGAACCTTGATCCCAGCTTCTGCACCTCCTCGGTGAACTTGTCTGCCTGCAGGATCTTGTGGGGCAGGGCGGCGAAACCAAAGTCAAAGTAGTCCTCGATCCGCGAGCCCTCGAGGCCTTGGGGTTTGGAGATGGACGACCAGATCTTTGTCAGGTCCTGGATCAGAGTGGTTCGGAGGTTGCCCAGGGGGGTTGTGCCGAGGTGGTCGCGGATGACGAAGAAGAGGAGGGACCTGGGAGTTGATCTAGACAATGTTAGAGGTGGTGGCACATGCATGCATCACACAGCGTCTAGCTTACTGCTTGTCCTTGAGGAAGAGCTGCAGGTTGACCTCGAAGACAGTCTTGAGCAGTCCCATGTTGGCTCCCTGGTACAAGCCGACCTGGTGCTCCCAGATGTTGAGGATCAGGACCTCGCTGGTGGCCAGGGCGAACAGGGCGCTCTTGCGCTCAAAGTCTTGATCCTCGCCGCGCTCTCGGCCGTCGGTACCCTCGACATCCATGACGAGGATGTTGTCGGCCATCTTGGTGCCAGCGCTCTCCTCGCGCTTGTTCTTGGACATCCAGATACCCTTTGTAGTCTGGCGACGCTCCGTCTCGGACATGACGGAGAAGTCGGTGCCGAAGAGGTTGTTGAGGAGGGTCGACTTTCCGGTGGACTGGGAGCCAAAGACGGAGATGAGGTGGTAGTTGAAGCCAGACTCGGCGACCGAGGTGAGCTGGAGGTACTCGTTGAGGTTCTCGCTGAGAGGGAGGTGATCGGTCAGTAAAGGCCAAAGTGGCGGTAGCGGTAGCGGTAGCAGCAGCAGCAGCATTGGGATGCATACTTAAACTCCTTGTCTTCGTCGATGACCTGGACGCCATGCTCATAGCTTCCGGCGCCTGGCTTCTCGCCGACGGCAGAGAAGTGGCCGTTCATGGTCTGCGACTTGTGGGTGCGGTTGTTGGTGTTGAGTGTTGGTGTGTGCGGGTGTGGGATGTAGCAGAGACGGAGAGAGAGAGAGCTTAAACAGCTAACAAGTAAGTACGTGCATCCAGCCGTTGACAAAGCGTGGGTGGGAACCCCTTGGCAACGGGAAATAAAGAGAGAAAAAAGGTAAATATGACGAAACTTGTGTTGCACAGACTTTGACGTTGTAACAACAATGAGGAAAGATTAAAGAATTTGAGTAGAGTATATCTGTACTGTATTTGTTGGGGCGAATAGTCGGGAAACCCGTCGGACGACCAAAAAGTTGTGACCACCTGGACAAACAAGACGGGACGGATGCAAGTTCCTTGTGATGCAGGCCCCAAGGTACGTACCTTTACCCTTCTCCCCTCTGTCCCGCAGCACGTACCTTCAAGCAAGCCAGAGCCAGCCCCTTAAAAGGTGGGAGCCCTTTCTTACTTCATCCCTGTCCGTATGTGGGTGCTTCTGACCTTTGTCCACCAAAAAAAGGCGGTGCGAGGGTCCAGTCGGTACACATCACGCAGCCGCCATGCGGTCACTGGCCAGGTCAATTCGCTGTCTGTTTCATGCATGCCTCGGTAGCACACGATGAATTCCACTTCTCAAGTATTCATGACCTGCTGTCACATGTACTTGACCGTTGCTTTGTCATGTTTTCACGATATCTCATCGGAATCGGTTTATCCGTGCCCCAACCCAGGATCGGTCCGTGTCCCGCTCCTGGAGACCTTGAATATCCGGCCAATCACGGTCCGCCTTCCCTTGACTGCAACACCCCGCCGAGGGGTCCGGCATCTGAGGAGGGGAAGCTCATGAAAGCATTGTCAATAGCTCACCATAGCATCAAACCGAGCTACTGGTCACTATCACATTGTCAATCGATTCGGTCAAAGTCAAAATGTTGATCAAGGAGTCTCACATCGACGTCCCCACGTCTGCCAATGGCAAGGACAGCACCATGCGTAACTTGACCCTCACTCAACTATTCCATGATATGACCAACTGACAACAACAACAATTAGGAATCTTTGTCTTTCATCCAACAATTCCCGGATATCCTAATGCGTATGTATCATTCTGTCTGTTCTTGCAGATCTCGACTAATCTATATCCTAGACGCTTCCCAGGTGTATGCCTCTTTAGCGAGATTTACCAAGGTACCTATCAACACATTAGCATCTCACAAGATACCCTGGCAACTTGAGCAACAATTTGACATCCATCAGTAACTGGCCCCGTTGCCCGTTTCGCCCGTCAAATCGCAGGCCAGGGCTACATTGTTGCCGCCCCTTCTTCCTACCATGACTTTACCGGTCCGGAACCCCTCAAGTACGATGTTGAAGACACGGACCGTGGCAACAAGTTCAAGATTGAAAAGGTACTATTCTAAGAACCAATGTTCGCACGGTATCTAACTGCAAAAGACCCTCGAGTCCTACGATGCCGACTCATACGCCACTGTTGACCATCTCCTCTCCCTCCCAACCTGCACTGGTCTCGTTGGAGCTACGGGAATGTGCCTTGGCGGCCACCTCGCCGTCCGCGCCGCTGTAAGTTGCTACCATAATCCTGTCTTGAATTATACTCACACCTCCAGCTTGACCCTCGCATCTCTGCTTGCGTCGCCTACTTCGCCACTGATATCCATTCTCGCACCCTTGGTCCCTATGACGCCCCCAACACCTCTTCCACTGCCCCCGAGTACAGCAACCACACCCTAGACCTTTTCAACAACTTCAAGGGCGAGGTTGCCATGATTTTCGGTGTCAAGGATACACACGTCCCTGATGCGGGTCGCGACCTCATTCGCGCCAAGTTGCGCGAGGCTGGTGTCGTTACCAGCTTCTACGAGTTCGCCTGGGCTCAGCATGCCTTCATCCGTGATGAACTCAGCAAGGGCCGCTACGACCCAGCCATCACCAAGATCTGCTTCGAGGTCCTGCTTGAGCTCTTTGGCCGTGTCCTCAAGACGGATCTGGGAGCCAAGGACGGCAACGTGCCCCCTCCTGAGCATATCTGTTAAGCTGCCTCCCATTCTCACATCTCATACAGTTGAAGTCTCTTCAGTTACCAGATGAATAAAAGTAATAATGATCTAATTTCTTAACTTCGTAAAATATGAGCTGCCCGTTGAGCAATCCCATAGTCTGGATTCGTAAAACCAATACTTCCGCCCAATTATTTGTGCGGGTAGCCCAATCTAGGTTATAACGGGATAGTTCACCCAATGTTTGTTTGCTTCCATGTACACCCAGTTGCCAAAATCCAAAAATCCAACCGCGTGGAATAGCGACTCCATATTACCACCAAAACATTTTAATCAGCCGTTACACTTTGCATCTCCTTCACCTCCAAGTCCACTAGCGTTGAGGAGCTGGGGGTGGTCCCTGAGGAGGAGGGCCTTGAGGTGGTCCTTGCTGGGACCTGGCGCCCTGGAGGGGATGCTGGACGTTGGTCTGGATGTGGCTGCTGCTAGCACCTCCTGAGAATGGCTGGTATCCCTGGGAACCCTGAGATGGACCGGCAGAGAGGTTAGAGTGGTAGGGCGTAGCGCCCATGCCAGTCTCAGCTTCCTCGTCGAAGGGACTGCGAATGCTGCGAGGGCTGGGCTGCGTCATCGAAATGCTGGGCCGGGGTGCCGTCTCCAAAGACAACTGTGGCACACCCTCGCCAGCCTTGCGACGGCCGCGAGTGCTCTCACGCTTGAGATCAGTGCGGAGGGCCTCGATATCCCTGGAGCGATGATGATCCTCGTTCGATCCCAGAGTGTGGTTGTCACTGTTGTCCCAGGCACCAACGCCGGCGGCAGCGGGGCGAGAGTTGAAGTCATGCATGGCCTGCGTCTCGCTCTCCTCGCTTTGCTCTTGCTTGCTTGTAGGCACCATGCGGGCCTCATCCTTGGCCTTGTCTGCATCCGCACGGCTCTTGCTGGCAAAGTCATCGGTGACGGCAACTGAGTATGAGGGGTTGGTCGGCCCACCAAGGGGCTCACCGCCACCTCCAGGACCGTTGACAGGCACCTTCTTCAGAGCAAGCGCCAGCGCACACATGAACTTGGAACGACGGCTGGCTCGTACGGAATCGTTGTGCCAGTTGGACTTGTGTGCGATGGTGACAAAGAGAAGCAGCTTGTCCAGGTCGCCAACACCACCGACGCTAATGCTGAGGTTGGGCTGGAAGTCACGAGCATTCTCAGGCTGTCGAACGAATTTCTCCATTTCGGATCGGAGCAGCTCAATGTCCTCGAAAGACGTATCAAAGGAGACGTTAACCTCGACGGTCTCATGCATGGCCTTGCTGCGAGAGATATTTTCGATCCAGATGTTGTTGAGTTGAATGTTGGGCACCTGGATACTTGTCAGTATTACTTCTTGCTTCTGACGGATTCCGACAACTGACCTGAACCGTCTGCATAGTATCGAGGCGGTGGAAAACAGAGTAGAGGAGGGAGATCTTGTTGACAACCATCTTGGTACCACTGATGTCAACGCGGTCACCAACATCGTAAGGGTGCTTGACGAAAAGGAAAATGCAGGAACCCAGGAACTCCTGAGCCGTGACAGCGAAAATGAAAGAGAGCGAGAGCAGCGTAGTTCCCGCGGTAGTCAGAGTCGTAATGAAACTGCTCTGGAAGAAGGCAACTAAGTGGATGGTCAGTATACTTCATTCTCTTCATCAGTGAGATCGACTTACGGAAAATGAAGACAACAATCAGAAGCACAACGAAAAGGAGAATCTTATCAAAAGCTTGCAGAGCCTGACCGATATCCTTCATACCCTCGGCGATTGCCTTTCTCTCTGTGCCAATCTCAACAACCTTTCGGACCATCTCATCGAGGCTGATGTCGCCGTTATCGTCGCCGTCGATCATGTAGAACGCTTCTTCAGCCTCATCCTTGTATGCAGGTCCGAGAACTTCCTGGAAATCCTCCAGAACAAGAGAGTTGTGGTTCTCAACGACATAGGACATCCAGATACGACGACCCATGGCCTCGGAGCTTCGGCTCTTCTCGAGAGCTTCGAGAACAATCGAGTGAGCTGAGTTGGGGTTGAACACGCTCTTGCCAGTGATCTCAGAGGCAATGTTGCCAAAGACAGAGGTAACCTTGTCTCCAATGCGACCAACTTCTCCGATGAGCTTCATAGGGGTGGCGGAACCAGCCCGCTTGTGTCCCTTCTTGCCTCGCAGCATCATCTCAATGCTATCGTTGATGATATAGTCCTCGTCGGCGAACTCCGGGCAGTGCATGGGGAAGAGAGTGCGAGAGGCATCGTAGAGAAGCCCGAGAAGGTGAACCTCGCGCTTAGAGGCCTTGATACGGTTGGCGAAGGATCGCTGGTGGTAAGAAATACCAATGAGCTGGACAATGGCCTTTTCGCCGAGGAAGACAGCTGAGGAGACAAAGAGGGCACCCAGAACGCGACCCATCGTTTGGCACCATGGCACAAACGAGTCGCTCTTGTCCTCGTCCCTGTACAAATTCTTGAAGGTGACGTATGAAGCCAGGGCCCAGAAGAAGAAGGAGAATGGCAGGATCAGGTTACCGAGGACAGTCGCATACTTTCGGGTACCCTTGCTAACAACTCCGGTAAAGAACATAAAGAGGGCGGGAAGAAACCAGGCGACGACCTTGGCCACCCAAAGCGAGAGCCACATGATCTCAATCCAGAGGAAGATCTTGAACAGAGGAGGGCCAGGGTTGCCGTCGTTCTTTCCGCCCTTAAACTTGCCAACAGAAAGCCCATTCTTCTCGCCAATGGCAGACAGAACAATGAGCGGGATGGCGAGGAGCAGACCAACAGGCACAACGTAGACGAGGTATCGGGTAACGACGGAGAAGCCGATGATCTTGTAGTACAGCCGGCCCATAGCGTTCAGGGAGGTGGCCTCATCGCCAGTGTTACTACGCGAGAGCTGATTCTCGCCTTCCTTGCGCCGGCGGCCGCGATGTCCAAGGTGATGACCCGACTTTTCGTTCTCGTGAACAGAGGCGCTGTCGAAGCTGGTAGGGTGAGGCATCTCAGCCTTTCTGTGGCCGGTGTTGGAGGCATTGCTCTTGACCGGCGTGAGTTGGATGCCGTCCGTCATGTCGCGGTTGCTATTACCACCGCCGAGGGGGATGAATCCTGAGTGTCGCGAGTTGCGAGGGGACAGAGAAGGATGGTGATTCATGCTGGTTTATGTTGGGACTCCAACCAGGGAGTCTGGGGGTGGGACCGAGTTCGAGAGGTATGCTTGTGGAGGTGATTCGATGTGAGACTCGTGTGGAATTGACTTGTAGAACGTGTCGAGGGTGATGATGAAACCGATAACGTCGGGAGATGTCAGATCGGGTAGTGCTAGGGAAGATGTGAGACGGCAATGGGATATCAAATCCTCAATCGCAACAATCTGCTAGGTATAGGAGAGTTTTGGTGGGAAAGTTATCCGCTGAAGGCTTGCTCCAGGCAGATGATGCCAAACCCAAAGTTGTAGTTGTAGGATATGAGATTCAAAGGAAACAAATGCAGGTGAAAACACTACAACAATCCCATGAGATATTGCCCTCTTTTTGTTATTCCTCTTTTCCAACAAAAGAACGAGGGTGATCTGCCGTCTTCTCCAGCGAAGAACAGGCAAGCAGTTGGAGGATAAATGACCTGGTAGGAAACGAGAGGGAATCCAGGAAACAAAAAGAGGAAGAACCGAGCGAGTGAAAGGAGGGGAGGCCGGGGTGGGAGGACCGCGGTTTTAGGGACTGGAACGAATGCTGGTGGAGAAGAAGAAAGAAGAGAACGAGAGAGAGAGGGAGAGACAAGGACAAGAACAGAACGAACAGACGCAGCTTGACGAAGGAGATTTTCGGGGATCATGGATGAGGTGGAGGTTCCCTGGCGCTTTCCTTGTCGTGGTCCTGCCCCGAGGCTCGTGCTTCATGTGGGATTGTGGGATGTGGCACTGTGCAGTGGGTACCTGAATACATAGGTACCTGCAGAGAGTGTGACTGACTTTGCCCAGTGTGTGAGTGCCTGTGAGCTTGAAAGGGGGTTTTCGTACATGTACAGTACGTACCGACGCCATGATGGGTCCAGCGTGGAGAAGGGGGCAATGATCCACAGTCAGCGCGTCCTCTGCAAGGTTTGAGGAGCTCCAGAACGGTTTGGGGCGGCCAGCCACCCATCAAGTTTTTTTTTTCTACTCTGTCGGTCCTACCCTCCAGGGGCCTGTCAAGAGCCCTACCAGCTGAAAGAGGATCCGCACCAGGGCATTTTTTCTTTGCTGGCTTCAGGGGGAGTCCTCCCCTCCAAATGTCAGCGCCGTCCAGTAATCTCACGGCACTGGCAGCGTTTACCAGCGCCGGTCCCAGGGGGAGGCGCCGCCCCCCGGCAGCCACCACTGGCTCCCCTGGCGGAACCGGCGCCAGCAGATGGAGGGTTTGTTTCACGTCTCCCGATCGGGCTTGAGGTGAGGGCGGCCGCGGGTGGTAAACAGACGACAGATGCGTGATGGGCTTTTGTTTTGCATCCATGTGCTGATTTTTGTGCTTTACTGCTCATGAGACGGCTAGAACGGATGCATACAGTACATAGTTCGCCAAGGATGAATGAGCCGTGGCTGGCTTTGTTAAATGACGGCAATGCGTGGCATCCATCTCCATGACAGTTTTGATATTGCACCACCACCAACACCATATGCATCTCGGAATGAGAGAGATCCTTCCGTAAACTGTCAAGTCCTGACGAGAATGGAAAAAGAAACGTGGGAATAAAACTGGAGAGGGCGGGGGTAAACACATCTCAACACGAGGGATTCGCTCTCTGCCTCTCGATCAACCTCTCGATTCATCCACATCCCGAGAGTCTGAACTCGTCTCCATCTTTTCCGGCCCTCCATCAACCCCCCGTAAAGGACCCCTATCATGGAAAAGATTTGCGTACAAGATCTCGAGGGGTCTTGTCATCGGCCAACCTCTACAGTATGAGGATGGACAGCGAGGTAGGCGCCCATTCTTCATGTCAATCACTTGTGCAACCTGGCGTCACTCTCTTTATCCTATTCGACGATATGTGAGGTTCTTCCGTGAACAGCAAGCACATGAGCATTTAGCTTCTTTTCTTTTCCCACCCTTTCGTGTAACGGCTAGACTCCTTCCTTGTTGTCTCGTTGAAACCGCTAAGAAGCACCACCTACATGTGAACGCGCAACCACCTTCAAGAACAAAAGACGAGACGAAACCAACCACACTTTCTCTCCATTCGTCCACCTCGACAAATCTAGCGTCAGCGCCACCAGGGGACTTGACTTTTTTTTGTTGTGCAACCACCCACCATCACGCCTCTTCAACTGCCGGCCCCGGCAAGACGCCTCGTCCTGATCTGATCGGGACAAGGCCCAACGTCTAAGTCGACAACGACGACGACGGACACGTTTCCCATGACGTTTCAAAATGGGTCCTCGGGGCGTTATCGTCTCCCGATGAAAGCAAAACAGTAAAAAAAAAAAAAATTTGGCCCTGGAAACTAAAAGAATGAAAAAAAGAGGCCCGCCGTGAATTGCCACCACCGATGAGAAACCAAGCAACTAGCCCCTGCAGGGCTATGTTTGGTTTGCTGTCCCAGCCTCTGATGATCCCATCTCTCCTCAATATTCACAATTTTTGTTGCTAGACATGGTTTCCTACATTAGCCTTGGCAGGACAGTATCAGAGAATAACAAAAATAAAGGGTTGCGCAAGGATTGGATTGCTGGCTCGCATAGCCACCCCGTTCATCATCCCTCGCAGCCAAGATGGAAGGGATACCATGCGGCCATGCCGTTGACCCGTGTAGACGACATTAAAGCTTGGTCAGGACCCTGATATTTATTAAAATAGTTCTCACAAAATTGCAGTCAGCAGAGCATCCAATGCTGTTCCTTATCTGAAACGGTTCCTCACCTCCCCTATGTAGCATTCGATGGTAGCCAAGCTCGTGGCCCTACAGCGATTGCCTTCCCTTTTTACAGGGAGCTTGGGGTGGTAATTGACCGCTGATTGAAGGGTGGAGGTACAGGAAGCTCGCCCCGACAGATTGGGTCACGATCTCGCTTCAACTAACAACAGCATCTTCAACTTCAACTCTTCATCATCGTGATCATCTCCCATCAAACCACCAAGTCTCTTGTACATCACAGGGCGCAACAGTCTCACTGTGAATTCTCACCGCTGGACCCCTTTTGTCTCTCCTTGTCCTTCCGCCCTGTCCAATCCCATCGGCCAGGGCCCGAACCCAACGACCGCCGATCAACATTGCTCATCCCATCCCATCCCATCCGCCAGAAAAGAATTGGATCACGCCCTCCTTCTCCGCCCAGACCAGAATGCAACGTGATCTGATCGATCTGATCCTTCACCCCGGATAATGCTAGCCGTGCTGCAACAACACCCGTGTTGTAGAACCCCACGACACGCCTCTCGTATCGTATCGCATCGAGCGGAACATCTCTTGTAAGTCGGTATGCGCCTACGCGCGCGGCATAAACAAAATGACGTTGAAATCCCCTCGTGTTGAGACTTTGCATGTGTGTGTGGGTGAGCAGCCCAACTTGGGAATACCGCCTTTGCCTGCCTAGTCCAGTTCTGGTCAGTAACCGCCAAACTTGGCCGGCCGCCGGTCCTGGTCTCCCGGCCTATCCCAATCTTTTGGCGGACTTCGTCACGGGTGGAGAAGCCTTTCTATCGCTGGGCGTTGATCATCCATTCCAGCTGTCGGCTCCGGCGCCGGTTCAACAGGTGGTTCAATGACGGAATTCCAGTCCACGTCAACCGCTTCACTTTCCGCTCTCACGACGTCACTGACCAAGGCCGTCTATTCGATCTTGGCAAATTACCTATTTACCATGAGCAAATAATTATTATTCACTGCAGAACCATTCATGAAACTACTGCCAACTAGGACCGTCATCATGACTTCTTCACCCGTGACGTCACATAATTTGTCCAACTTGTCTCCATCGTGGGGGTATCTTATTGATCTTCCGTTCAACAAAAAGATTGATCCTAGTCCATTCGCCTGCTCCTTTTTTTCCGTTCATCCAGGGTATCATAGAGCACAAGCAAGCAATACTTTCCAAATCAAATCATCAAACATATCCAACGCCAATGCCACCAATCTTTCGCCAAACTCATATGGCATTCGTCAGCCCAACAGTGTCTTTGAGCTCAACCTTGGCCTTGTCGTTCTCGTATCCGGCATCGGTGCTATGACTGTCTTCAGGTTCGCCAACGTCGAACTGATATAGAGGTTCCAGCGTCACGTCTCGCTGGAACAAGATCCATCGTCTGATCCACCATGGGAGTGCCTTGGTCACCTGGTACTTCATGAAGACGCGGGTAGGCACCGCAAAGATGTAATCGAGCTCCTCTAGCGTCCGCTGCTTCGTTTCTGGCAGCCAGAGGAAGATCATGATGAGCGCAATAAAGTTGAAGCCCGAGTACAGACCAAAGGCCCCTATCGCGTGCAGCCTGTCGAGCATCAGGGGAAACGTGATGGACAGGACAGCCGCCCAGAATAAGCACGTTGCCACAGCCCACGACATGCCAACTTCACGATGCGATAGAGGAAACACTTCGGCTGAGTATGCATACGGCACTGGGCCCTCACCGGGTGAGTAAAAGGCCGCAAAGAGGTAAACAAACATGGCCACAAGGCCAAGATGAGCTCCGCCTGTCCCAGGTATCAGAGTGCACAGTCCAGCAGCAAGGAGCGTCCATGCCATCTGAGGAAAGGTGAACAAGAGCAGAGACCGTCGTCCAAAGGTATCAATAGTCCAGACTGCGGGCCATGCAAAGACGAAGTTGACGAGTCCAAACCCCATTGAGGCCAGCAGTGCCTGGTTGTCGTTGGCCCCTGATTCCTTGAAAACGCTCGTCGAGTAAAACGCGATGATGTTGATGCCGCACATTTGCTGTGCGATCATGACAACAAACGAGGCGAGGGTGGCTCGGCGTACTCGGGGGATCGTGAACAGCTCGATGAAGCGGTTTATATAGTTGCCCTTCTTAATAAATTCGAATTCGAGCTCAAGCTGCGCATGAATGTAATACAAGTCTCGAGCGGCCTGCACAGGGTGATTCCGTAGACGAAGCAAGGACTGTAATGCGTCTCTATAGCGATTCTTCTTCATGTACCAACGCGGTGACTCGGGGCAGAAGTAGATCAATATCAACAGGGGCACGGCGGGGATGAAGGCCGACCCAAGCTGATACCTCCAAGCGTTGTGGCCAATCTTGGTGACGGCCACGTTTGCGCAAGTTCCGAGAAAGATGCCAAATGCTGTCCACATCTGCCAGCTCATGACAAAAGCTCCTCGGATCGGGGCGGGCGAGTTTTCGGCAGCAAAGATGGGGACTATCATGACACACATTATTAGCCTTTGAACGAAAGAGGAACGTAACCCTCCGGGCCCGAAAGATATGATTCTCACCAGTTGACGCCTTGGTTCCCATCCCGATACCAAGGAGTAGACGGCATGCAAATAGCTGCTTCCAATTGTTACACAGCGCGCTTCCAATAACGGGCCAGAGACAAAAGTTGGCCGAGAAGAAGATTGTCCCTCGACGGCCGAAACGCTGATTTAGAGGGTCTGATAGCCAGCATCCAAAGAACGCAGTACCGATGTACGGCGCAGAGTTGACGAGGCCGACCAGGAGCTTATCTCGGATACTGTTGGATCCAATATCGAATGCATACGGAAACTCAAGATTGGCACCGTTTGAGCCCGTCTGATCCCATCCTTGCACGGCAGCACCGATAGAGCAGGTAGCAACAGTCAGGTATAGAACGAAGGGGACGCGCCACTTGTGGAGGATCTCATTCCTAAGCGCTTCGATCTCGTCGTCGTTGAGCTTCTCGTCGCCATCAATATCTTCATAACCAGTGGGATCCTGGGCAACGAGGGCGCCCTGTCGGATGAGATGGCGATAGTCGTCGAGGTCCTTCTTGCGACAAAAGTCATCGACGTCGGCCATTAACCTTGACCGGGGGATGCCCCATAAAGGGTTCTTGATCCTTTCCATCCATGTCAGTCAAGTCACTCGGGATTCGGCAGAGCCATGTCAAGATAGGACGTACTTGGCTTCGACATTGGCATGCAGGTTGACATAGGCTTCTGAAGGACGACGCGCATGCTCAATCATGGAACTGTAAGGGAATTCGTGGGGAGTCCTTGAAAGGCTGGTAAAGGTCAGCATGATGGTCGTTGGCCACATGTGATCGTCGGATACCTACGCTTGCACATCCTCGTCACCTTGGTTCGGCGCCATTCTGTTTCAAGCCCCCAGTGGGGTAGTCTCACGAAAAGAAGCACCAAGTGAGAGTTGAAGATCCGAGGCAGAGTCCGGGGAAGCGATCTCAGAAGGGGCGGAGAGGCGCTGCCGAACAGCGTTGATGAGCAGAGACTTGATGGTGTTGTCAAGCGCCGGCAGTAATAGTAAGAGAAAATAAGAAACAAAGTCGTGAAAATGCTTAAATATCACCTAGGCAAAGGTTGAGCGAACCAGTTCCCGGCGATGTCTCTCGGGCGATCGCCTTGCGGGGATGGAAGATATGGAGACACACTGAGGCACAGTCAGGGCGGAGGCGGAGTCGGACAACGGTTGCGACTGGTCTGTGTTTCGGACAGTGCACCTTGTGTAGCCAGCGTCTGTATTACAGACGGTCAAGGGCGAGTAAGCAAGAGACGCGGGTGAGAATTGGGCGCAGAGTTGAAGGAGGCAAGGTTGTGTTGTGAGACGGAAGAAGTGAAGTTGAAATCAAGGCCGGGGGCGGCGGCAACTTCAGCGCCGGTCCAGGTCGGTGGCGGCTCGTCTTTCGGAGGGCATCGGGGAATATCAGCCCTCCAGCGCGGTAGTCATGGGGAAACCTGGTCCTCCTGGGTTGCGCTGATGTACTGTATGTACGGTACGGTAATGTTTGATGGTGGTGAGAGCGGCGCCGACAACTCTGCGACAATGATGATCCAGTCGGTTGCGCTTTATTTGAGAGCCAGCAGAAATGGCAGCGGTCGAAAAAAAGACAAGGGGTCAAGGACCCTGGCTTAACAAGCACGGGAGTAAGACGATCCTGACAGCTGGGACCTCGAGGAACCTCTTGAAGTGGTCGACGAGCAGCAGCGAGTGAGTGACAAGTGGGTTGCTTGGGCCTTTTTGTTCAAAGGCTGGCTGCTGCAGGGCTCTCAAGTCGAGAAGAAGTCAGTCAACCTTACCCCATGGGCCGGGATCCTCGTCCTTGGAGTGCAGCGCGCCCAGCCATGGCCAAGGAATCCCGCCGCCCATCTCCGCATGCGAAAGCTCCCTCGGCCCCAATGGCAGGCCTGTCCATGGCCCTAAAACTGGGGACCGCCCAGGAGATGACGGCTGGGATTGGGTTTCATGGTGCAACGCTAGACCATCATCAGAACAAGCCATGGGAACAGTTTGCTTCCTGGACCTGGGGGAGGGACCAGCATCGTGATGACCATGGTGGGCTTGAAAATGGGCCCAATCCCCCATCGAGAACCCTCTCGGCTTCCTGGTCTCGTCCTTCTCTCCAACATAACCTGATCTTGTCTGGCCCGGCTCCCGAATGCACCGTCAAGATGAACGAGAGCCGAGAAACCGGGGCCCCTGTCTCGCTTCCGTCACGTCACGAACTGCCTGACAACCTTTTTGCAACGGCTCCGTTCAACGTCCCCAGATTGTCTGTCATGGGAACGGTCAAACTCTGTCCTCCGTCGGCTGCCGTTGCCGTTGAGGAGAATGTCATTTTCACAACGACCGCTCGATACGCTTGTTATTAGTCAAGGACCTGCAGGTCTTTGTACAGCCGCTCCAAACCTGCACCGGGTTTGTGCTCAAGTAATCTTGTTTCCAGGATGTGGCTGTCTCTGGTTCAAGACAGGAGATTCCTTTGCCAAGACCAGAAACGCCTCGACTGGCGGCATCTCCTCCTTGTTCCCGGACGCCACCAACTTTGAACCCCTTCGACACAAATACCAGAGCATGTTTTGTGAGTGGTGCATGGTGAATACCCTGATGTTTCTGTCGAATGTTTTTGTGGTTTCTGTAACGGTTGTTTGGCGTGGTGAGATATTGCGTCTGATGGATGCCGTGAGAAATGAGCATCTCTGAGCCTTGCTTGTCTCACTCGCAAAGACATCTGCACCGTCACGCAAGACATGCCGTTGGATCATCGCCAATGCCATCGCCCTCTTCGTCCGACCCCCTTGTATGTAGAGTGATTGGACTGATGATCCATGAGCCATCTTCTTCAAGAGAGTGAATGGTCCTCGTCAATGTTTGGAGCTGCGATGGGTGTCGATCATGTTGGCTGATTCCACCGGCAATCCACAACCCGAATCCTTCAGACATGGCGACCCACGATCTTCTGCCATCCCTGCAGGATGGTTTTTCGTCTAGGTTGAATATGCGGAGCGGAACTCGAGGTTTCCGCCAGAGTCTCGCATTTTTCGCATTCTATCGACGGTTTCCCACGCGCCTAGGTGGCGCACCCATCAAACATCAAAGACACATCAGCCTGGGGTTAATGAAGTCGGAGACGGCGCCGGGGTTTGTGGGACCGCATCACCAACCTGTCGTTCGTGTTAGTGGCCTTGGCTTGGAGCTATCACCGGGCGACGAGTCCGACCTCCGCGGGTTGCTTGTCCAGGATTTCGGTAGGAAATTGATAGCACGTGATGAGAAGACGATACCACCTCAACACGGCCTCCGTCTGAATGTCATTTCTAATTGAGCCTCGACCTTGTTGTTCTATGAATCAACTAATACTCAAGATAACAAATTCCATACTCTGTAAACATCAAAATTGTTTCCCTAGCCTCATCGTGACTTTATTTCGCGGTAGTTTTAGGGGGCTTGCATAGCCCAACCCTTGGCGCAAGGCAACAGAATTTCCTCCTCCATGAGTGGACATCCCCAGGATCTGTCCCGCCTCCACCACCAACGCCCGCATAACCTCGACGGTATCTCGCCCCCAGACTCTCCAGACGCTTTGCCCTTGTCTGTCTCCTTTGCAGACCCAAGGGCCTTACTTCCCCAGCTTCTCCAGGTTTTCTTCTCCAACTTTGCCGCTTAATCGGTTGTCCAATCACGACCCCATGTTCAAACACATTCTGTTTCTGTCTGGCGCTGACGGGAAGGGACACTACCACCGGTCTAGTACCGGTTGCGTATTCGAACATGCAGTAGTTTCTTCTCGGAGCCACCGTCAACACCAAGCGAGTGTTATTGGTTGTCGGCCCATTTGTCTAGTAACGGATCGGTCCCTGACATCCGATAGACCCGAGCAGTTCGCACCTAGTTGAAGCTCCCCTGTCAGAGTTCCATCTTATGGGAACCCAGCACATTCTGCATATGAGGCTCATTGGACCCATGTTTAAGACTTCATATACAATCAGACTCTATCTAACAGTCCAAGATCGGCCTATTGTGTACCAGTTACAACTCATCCAACCGTTTATGCACCGATGAAATGCATAACAATATATATCAAGAAAGAAACACACAAACACACCTCCCAATGCAAAAACAAATAGCCACCACAACACGGGTATCATACCTTTTGTGAATCCCCTTTTAGTAGATCCGCCACCTTGGCCCGTAGGTCCCAAAGCCTCTTGTCCTTCTTTTGTACATCATCAAGAAGACTCTTATACTTGGACTGCCACTCGCTCACAGACAACGTGCTGGCCGTCCCCTCGGCCGTCCCCGTGGGACCATCATCTCTGCGATGTCCCTCTTCGATAAAATCGAGGGGCACTGTCTGCTCCATCTGATAGACGCCTCGAAGGTGGCCAAATCCATACGTCCACTCGCACGAATACCGCATGAGCCCGTTTTCACGACCCATACGGGTGATGCGTGTCCTCGCCGCCACCAGGTGTGAGCCCCCGGTGACAGCAGCCAAGTTTATCAAAAAGGCCTCTGGGGATGTAGCCGCTTTATACATCTCCTCAATAGTGCTATTTGTAATTCCCACAGCTTCTTGCATTGAACATCCATATGACGGTCTTCCCTCTGCATCGCAGAATTCAGCTGCAAGGCAGCCATGGGTCATGTAGGCAATCACTTGGTCCACATTCGTTCGATCCTCGCCTCTCTCAAAGTAGAACCGTGGGACATTCTTTGGCGCAGGCACCTCGGCCTGCGGTTTGCCTTGCCCTACAGCCTCATTTGCCGCCTTGGTAAAGTTGGTCGGCGTGGGAGTCTGCTGCGTGGGGTCCGGGACGGGTAGGTGATTGCTTGGTTCCCCATTAATGACTACTGCAGGTGGAGGTGTAGCAAGTCTAACGCTCCCAGGCGGTCGATCGGGAACTTGTAGAGATATATTAGGCCGAGGAGGTCGTTCTGTCGCGGGCGGCGGTTGAGAGTACGACGCTGCTGAAGCCGGTACGGAGTACTGTGGTGCACCGTCTATCGCAGGAGCTGAGCTGACTGGGATAGATTGGGTATAAACTGGCGTATTGTGTTCACCCAGAGGAGGTGTAGTAGTTGAGGATGAAAAGGCAGATAAAGATGTTTCCACGGGAGTCCGGTTCATTGGAGGCCGGCCCCGCGGCTTAACACCTCCAGTAGCTATTCCTGGTCGCCAGGCTGAAGACACATTCTTTGCTCCCCGGCGCTGCGTACCAGGTTTCGGTTTAGAAGGCGTCACGCCAGACTGCGGTTCCAGTGCGTCGTCCCAGAACGAGTTTCTCGTAGTGGGCGTGATTGCGGATTGTGGCCATCGGAATAGAGGCGTCTGCTGAACCCCTTCGGGATGATTCCAAGGCGCGGCGCCGGGACCTGCCGATAGGGCGCTTGTCATACCCATCCTCAAGTCATCTGTAGCAGAAGGCGGCGCGAGAAAGGACCTTTGGGCTGGCGAAGCGGCTACTTCGTCATCAGCTGGACGTTTCCGGCCTCTTCTGGGTCGTATCTGTGGGACGAGTGCTCTCAGAGCCATGTCGTCCTCCAGGGCCACACCATCGCGCATGGGCTGACTAGTTGGATTGGTGTCTGCCGGTATCTTGGTCCAATAATCATTGGGTATATCCATGAGATACTCAAAAAATGCTTTAACATGCATCGAGTTCATCCATTTCTAGGCCAGGTCAGCTAATATCGTACCCCGGCTAAGTGGCTCGTACCTTTAGCCGCACGCCATACTGTGCAATCTTCTGAGCACTCTCCTCCTTGCTCGGGTCAGGAGGCTCAACACCAAGTCTGGTGGTGAGTTCAGTCCAGGTGCGGATCTCATTGTCGTAGAACTTGCGGACGAGCTCATAGACGGCAAAGGTGCTGAAAGTCTTGCCGCCGCTGCGTGGCGGGTTGCGAAACGCCTCGCGTAAGGTTAGTGTAGGGGTCGATGGGGGTAAACCAGGATTGCAGTAGAGCATGAAGCAGACGTAGGCATCCTCGATGGTGTCGGCGGTGACACGGCGGTCCGGTAGCTCCGGCCTCACGGGGATGTCGGGGGTCGCGACGGAGCCGGGTGCCGAAGGGCCGGGTTGGTGTGACGCGGGTTGAGGCGGAGGAGGAGGCGGGTGATTAGGAGAGGGCATCTTTGTGAGCTCATGTCATAATCCTAGGAAGTCGTTCTCCTTGCATGGCGGGTTTTGGATAGTTTCACGCGAGTCTGTAAATCGAATGTGAAAGGAGAGGTAGGAGTTTGAGACATTGAGTGGCCGATCTTGGGGAGGAACTCGGGGTAACACGCGGCGACTGCTTCTGCTTCCGGAGAGAGAATCTCACGTTGGCATTCCTGCAAACAGGAAACGACGAGAACGGCCTCTCCCAGGTATCAAATCAATAAACAGCGCGTTGTTGATACCTCGCTCAAACTTGACACCTTCAAGAGTCTTTGAAGGGGCCAAGTTCGCGTTGCAAATTAGGCCGCGACAGCGTGAACTAAAGTGGGCTAAATTTAGCAATACGGCCGGGATGCCCGATGTTTTTTGGGGCGCACTGTAATTTTGAGGCAGGTTTCATGTTGTCGTACAGTGCGTGTAGATATGGTGACTGTGGTTGATCTGTCCGGACTTTGTGTTTTGTCATGTCATGAATGGCGATATGGATATGGAGATGATTGTATAGATACAAGGTAGCGAACTCGGCTTCAAGTAAATGCCTAGCTAGGTAGGTAAATACCTAGGTAGGGAAGTAAGACTTACAACCAACAGATCCATCGTAAGCTCAAACCCGCCAAGAACCAACACCATCAGAATGCTCCACGCTCCTTGCAAGCAAACCCAATCCCAAGACCGACCAAATTTAAAACCAAATTCTTTACCTTGATTGCGAATCCAATGGATACTTCCCCATGTCTATCCCTCGGCAGTTAAACCCACAGGCGCATGTACAGTAATCAATAGGCTTTAGTAATCCGCCCAACGCCCTTCCAACTGACAAGCACCCTACCACATTGCACCTTTTCCAAATGACGTGCTCAACCAAAGACAGGCTTCATGGCCAGTCTCGGTGCAAGAATGATTAGTGTACCGCATCTTGATTTGAAATCCAATTCTCTTGATGGATGGTGTTTGGGTGCAGTGTGAAAATTTATATATAGGCATAATGAAGCCAGCTTCAATACACATCCATCATTCATCAATTTCAGCATCAGCATCACTTACACGGCTTCAATTCATCAGCCATCTCCATCTCATCATACTCTAAGCTCATATCATTCAACCTCGGCAACTGCCTTCTCCAACATCTGTCCCGCAGATCAGTGTCTTTCACAAGTGACTTATTACACACTTCATCACAAACACAACAGCATGGCCATCTCATCCACCATCCCCCGCGGCGACGTCACCGCAACCCTCAACTTCTACCAACCCCCTTCCGACGCCTCAACGCCTTTCAACTACGTCGACCAGCCTCCCAAAGGCCAGCCCCAGCGCAACTTCTCCGACAACCCTCAGCCCACCGTCATCCACGATCTTCGCGGCCGTGAGACCGACTTTCACCTCGACCAAGACGCTTTCCAAGTCATCAGGAACGTCCCCGAGTCTAGTGAAGCCGAGTTTGTCGACGATGACTCTATCAAGGAAAACTACTATCCAGAGGTTGAGCAGCTTCTCCTCAACAACGTTCCTGGGTCAAACCGAGTCTTCATCTTTGACCACACTATCCGCCGTCAGAAGCCAGATGCTCATAGAGCTCCCGTAACCCGTGTGCACATCGACCAGACCGCAGCGGCCGTCGCTCAGCGAGTCCGTCGGTACTTCCCCGAAGAGGCAGACGACCTTCTCCAGCGTCGATACCGCCTCATCAACGTCTGGCGACCCCTGAACAAGAATCCTCTCGAAGCCTTCCCTCTAGCCGTTGCGTCCTCTGCCTCGGTTCCAGACAAGGACGTTGTCCCCGTCGAGCATCGGTATCCCGATGGTTATCAAGGCTGGACTGCCGCTATTCATCATAACCCAAACCAGAAGTGGTACTACCTCAGCGGCATGACGGGAAGTGAGAGGCTGTTGCTTGAGTGCTTCGACAGCGAATCTCTAAAGCCTGGATCCAACATCGGCGGCCGTGTTCCTCACACTGCATTCCAGGATCCGAGAACCAGGACTGATGCCGAGGGTCGTGAGAGTATCGAGGTCCGAACCTTGGTATTTGGCCCCTAAACTTGTCAGTTACACTTGAGCCAATGGCTCATGGTGATGTGGAAGGAATCATGGCATATGGAGCGATTTGCAGTATACGAAAGTTTGCTTTAGGACATGGGCACACATGTGGTTAATGAAGGGCTTGGTATTTCTATATCTATGTACCGAGGCCATGAATTTTGAGACTTGAATGAAACCAAAACGAGACCTGATATCCCATGTGCTTGACCCAGAGCCTTGCCCTTGTTCGAGTCCCCTGACTAAGAAACGTCCCTGTTACCAATCCGAAAAACATGTCAAAAAAGAAAACCAAGTAAATGCATCAAAGTCATCCTGGATGATTGATTGTTCCTGTCCCGAACGTAATGACGGGTCCAGTCAATGCTGCAACACCTATGCGCCGCGCTCACAATGCTGTAAAATGACAAGGTCCTTGGACTACGCAGTCCAGGTTCAGTTCTTGCGTCCCTTGCCGCGGGTGCTGCTGCTCCCCTGTCGGCTCATGGCAACACCTCCGGCGCTGCTCTGACGGCTCATTGGTGCGGCGGCGCTTGACAGAGCGGCAACGGCGCCGATATGCGCGGGGCTCGGCTGGTCACGGAGGCTGCTAACGGTCGGCAGGCCAAGGGCATCCCGGACGTGCTCCGGATCCTCTCGGGCGGCGCCGGTGAATGCGACGTAGCGTCCTTCCTGATAGGGTGTCGAAACGGCCTCGAGAACCCTTCGCAGACCACCCTTGACGTCAAGGTGAGCGCCAGGCTTGTGAGAAGCATCGTACTGCTTAAAGTATCCCATGACGGAGAGATCGGATTGGATGTCGTCGTTGGACAGAGGAACAGGAAAGTTCTGGTCGGCGGAACGGGGGTATGGCTTCAGGTACTGCGAAGGGACAAAGGGCGGCATCTTGGGCGGCTCCTGTGCGTGGACGAGATCCAAGTTGCCAATCCCCTCGTAATTGACAACACCCTCAATACCAAGGATCTTTTCATCAATAAAGTTGTGATTGGCGCCACGCCCGCTTCGGGTGGCGTGTGAGACAGAACGCTCCATCGCAGGGGCAGCAGGCGCAAGATCATCATGGTCGCCATTGGCATCACCATGGCCAGAGTCGCTATCATCGGGCGATCCATTGCCGTTGACCCGACTGCGGAGAATGTATTGGTGAGCAGCAACAGCAGCAGTGTTATAGTTGAGAGACAACTCTTTGTCAGTAAAGAGCTTGTCGATGCTGTAAACGGGGCCGTTCTGTTTGGCGGCAGCGCGAGCCTTCTCAGACTGCCAGAGAGGTGTGGTGTTGTTGGGGTCGAGGGCGCGTCGGATGGGAGCAGGCGAACCGTCGTCATCACCACCGTTTCGCTTCCGCTTCTTGGAATCGGAGTACATGTGCAGGTCGTCGGCATCTTTGCGCAGACGCGTGGCTCGCTTGCCATGGGTGCCGCCGGGGCTCGAAGGGTTCGTAAGGCTGAACTGATTCGGGTTCAGGAGCAAAGCGTTGGAGTCGTTAATCTCCAAAACTTCCTTCTCCCGGTTCAATCGGTTCTTCTTATGGGTCAGGGTGTTAATGAGGCGATCGCGGAGGGTATTGGCCAGCGCTTCGTGTTCGCGCTTGGCGGTTTCGACCTTGTAGGCATAGGTATTCTTGTACTCTTGCAATCTTCGCTCGTAGTCGTTCTGGGAGCGCATTCTGTTAGCAGCGGGATCGGCCAAGCGCCTGGCAGTACCATCTCACCTTGGACAGTGCCAATTGAAAGTCGCGAATCTCAACCAAGTCCTCGATCTCGCCGATGTAATCGGAGAAGCGGACTCCAGCCATGTCGAGAAGAGGTCGTGCATCTTCGGCGTTGACATCAGGACCTTGGGTCTCGGCGTATTCTCTCTGGATCTCGGCGATGACCTCGAGCACCCTGGGATCGTAAGGGTCGAAGCGCTGAACCAGAGTCATGTCAAGCTGGATTTTTTGGAGTTGATCACGAAGAGTCAAGTCTCTTGTACGTGAAAACTTTTCGGTAAGGGTCATGAGTCGCTCTATGAGAGCAAGTCGCTTGCGGTCTCGTTTCGACTGGGAGGCTGAAGGAGGATCAGCTCTGCCGCCGAGGCCGCTGGGGACCACTGCGTCGTTCGCAGCCATTTTGACAAGCAATCCAGCACGTCAATATGGTATAGACGAGTGTATAGGTCGTATCGCGATCGTTGGAAGAGAGATACGAGCTGTGGTAAGAGGAAGCTGGTGTTGTCGTAGTGTGCTTGAAGGTGGGAAAGGCTGGGGGGAATCCAAGGGTGTGGGATTTTGCCGACTTGGAGAAACAGAAGAGGAAATGATGTAAAGGGTAATTTACAAAACAGACAGAACAGTGATCAGATTCTTATAGAGCTCGATCCCAATACGGTATTAAACCGAAAAGAGGAGATCAAGAGCAACAAGAGCAAGGCAGGTAAACGAAACGTGAGGATTGAGCGGTTCGTCTGGTATTGTTCATGCTCAAGAGTGGCAGCGACACCAACAGCACCAACACCAGCATGACCTCGCTGGGGCCGCCCATCCAGTGTCCGCTCACCGCCTTCCGAAAGCGGATAATTGGCAGATAGCGCCCGGTCCCGATTTCTCAGGTGGTGTCATCCCGGCCGAGGCGTGATTGGCTCAATCTCCTGAGCCCGCTGAAACGGGCAGCTAAGAATAGAGCAGTGTCGCACTGTGACTTACACGGAGCTCACTTGCATCGCAAATTCACCTCTTTCATCTCACCTTGTTGTCTCACGAGCTGCAAGTAGATATTTGGAGAAATGGTTATTATCATTATTTCCCAATCGAGCATTATTCTTCTCTCACAATCCGCTCCTGAGCTTCTGTAACTGACTAATCAGGCCAAACCCGCCTAGTGCCTTTGTGTCTTCTACCACCACGGCCGCATCTCTTGTGACACTCGATTTGCGCGATCGCGAAGTGGGCTCCGCTTTGCCCTCCTTCTTGGCCGCCTGCTCCATTTCCTTCATAAGATCGCGATGCCTGTCCTCTACCATCTTGGCCAGGCTCTCGATAAACTTGTTCCTGCCCTTCTCCTCTGCCGTGTCCTTCCACACTACTGTGAGTTCCTTGAGCTGCTCAATCTTTTGCGCCGCCTTCTCAATGCCTTGCACAGGGTCCTCAGATTTGTTCAGTAGGTCAGATATCTCGCCCCGGATCTTCTTCAGCACTTCTTGACCCTTGTCCTCTGAGCTCTGCTGCGCCGATCCAGGTTCCGGCGCTGATACGGATAGGAAGCCTGAGCTCACTGAAACCTCGGAAGGTGGGAAAACGAATTCCATGGCGTCTCCAAACGTCTTGATGACCAAATCGAGGCGAGATCGCACAAGTGTGAGTGTTTGTAGGTGCTTGATAAACTCGGGATCATCCGCGTTTGTCGTTCCTGTGACAGTCCCACCAACAAGGGCCGGTGTTGATGGTGCCGTGCTCTTTTCGTCCTTTGCACTTGCAGCTGCACTGTTCTTGGCTTCGATAGCTTCCTGCAATCCTTCAGGGACAAACTTGCTGATATCGTCGTGGAGGGTCTCAGTCATGGTCTCCTGGAGACTCAGCGTCTCGCCCCGTAGAAGCTCCACCTCGTAAGCCAGGCGACTCCCACTCCTCAGAATGTCATCAGTGAGCTGAGTCAAAGTACTGGATAGTCGTGAGGTCTGCGCGTTGAGTTGCGAGATGAGGGCCTGGGCCTGCGTAGACAGCTCAGCGAGGGGTGCGACGTCAGACCCGGTCCGGCCAGGAACTGAGCGCTGCTGCAACGGCGGCAAGGCTGAGTTCAGAAATGTTGCGGGATCAAATGTTGGGTCGAGGAAGTCCTGGAGGAATTCGTCGGATGTGTGTGTCGATTTGGGCTGGATCACCGCCTTGGACTTTCGTCGTGAGTGTCCAGATCTGATGGATGAGGCGGCGCTGCTGGTTGCCCGCCGCCGACCAACTTTCAAATCGGATGCCATTCTCAACAAAGCCCCGGCGTCACAGTTCTTTATCCCCGGTGACCCGAATACTTGGTGATTTTATCAGTGGTTGACAAGATGAAATTCAAGACCGCCGCGATTCTAGGGATAACACCCTTGGATGAGATGTAGGAGAGCTGTGGTGGCCACTTCCATGGCGATTACCTGACCATGAGCCGATGATAATCCGGCGCCCAAACCGCAGCCCACTCCACTTACAACAATGGATCAATCACCACTTTCTCTACTCACCGCGCTACATCTCTAACTCAGGCTGCGATACTTTTCTAGACAAGAGAAATGAGCGAGTCACAGGAAGAAATGAAGATCGACCCCTCAAGAGCCCAGGCTCTTGTCTCCCAGCTCAACTCGGTCAAGGACCGTCTCACTGCTGTGGCGAACGGCCGTAACGTATGCATGGCCCTAGTCCTCTCAAACTTATCATGATGAACATGTCCTGATGCGCTGCCTGTAGGTTCGACTTGTTGCTGTCTCAAAGCTAAAGCCAGCAAATGACATCTTGGCCCTCCATAAAGCCCCTACGTCTCAAACTCACTTTGGCGAAAACTACGCCCAGGAGCTGACTCAGAAGGCCGCTCTGCTTCCAAATACCGTCCAGTGGCACTTTATCGGTGGTCTTCAGTCAGGCATGACATTTCAACTCTTTTCAATACGCATTCATATACTAACATCGACCCAGGACACTGTAAATCTCTTGCCAAGATCCCCAATCTCTTCTGCGTTTCCAGCGTCGACACCTCAAAGAAGGCCCAGCTCCTCAACACGACCCGCGGCAACCTCCTAGCATCGCAGCCCGACCTCTCCAAGCTCGGCGTCCACGTCCAGGTCAACACCTCTGGCGAGGAGGCCAAGTCCGGATGTGCTCCCGGCGCTGACACCGTCGCCCTGTGCCGCGAGATTGTCGACACCTGCCCCAACTTGCAGCTGCTGGGCCTCATGACCATCGGTGCCATCGCCCGCAGCAAGGCCACCACCGCTGAGAATGAAAATGAGGACTTCCTGACGCTCAAGGCGCAGCGGGATCTCGTGGCCAAGGAGTTAGGCCTGAGCGAGGAGAGCCTGGAGTTGAGCATGGGTATGAGCGAGGACTTTGAGGGTGCTGTGAGGTTGGGAAGCAATGAGGTGCGTGTAGGCAGTACCATCTTTGGCCAACGACCGGCCAAGGCAGATGCCAAGATCAAGGAGTGATGCCGTAGACTGTTTTAAACCCAAAAATAAAGTTACCGAGCTTCATGCTGGCATAACGGTTTCATTCGATCGATCCAAAACGAGAGACTTCATGGTATCAACAAACAACTAAATCCTCCCTGCTCACAGTCACTCCGCAGTCTGTGGTGCTCGCATCAGCATGCACCGACGGTAGAGAGAGCCGCCATAGGGGCATTGACGCAGGCAACTTTTCGGCCGATAAAGAAATGGCTTGAATTGAGCGCTTCATCCACTCCAACCTTCATGCTAGTTCCCCAACGCCCATATGCTTCATGGTGGTATCAAGACAACTCCGTCCCGGCCAATTATACAGAAGAATGGTATCAGGTAACCATGACGTTTCGGAAAGCGTCCGAAATCTGCTCTCGAGAGGGTGCTTCAAACTCTGGCGTAGTTGACGCTCCTGCAGAAAGCCGTTCCTGCATATACTTCAACAAAACAGCTGGAACCGAATCATCCGTTGCGCGAATAGTGAGTCGAATCATCTAGAGAGTGGTTAGATCCATATCATGGGTGAATAGGAAGCGAGGGGTCTTACCTGGTTTCCATAGTTTGGCTCCAGTCTCATAAGACAGCCAAACTTGCCCCCTTCAGATGTGTGAAGCACGCTCGCACCGACAACGTTCTTTGGATTGGGGTCCACCATGTCCAGCATTCGCCATCTGAATCCCTCCACTGTCTTGGAGACGAAGCTCTCTGTGATCTCCCTGCCGCCGCCTTTGCCAGACAATCCAAAGATTCCTTGGGCTTCACGGGGAGCTCCACCAATCTGCTTCCATCTCCTGAAAAAGTCCTCCGCAGACAAGTCTGCCGGGTCCATGAATTTGTGGATCGCCACGGGAAGCTTCAGAGTGAGGGCCTGAAGGGCACCAGCCAGGTAGCTGATACGCACTGTAGGGCTCTTCTCAAAGATCTTCTTTGCCTCAAACATGACAACCTGCTGAGATTGTCCGCCTTGGACGATGGTGCTGTCAGGGAGGTTCTTAACATCCCAGGTCAAGTTGTTCTTCTCGCTCTCGTCCAAGTCCAAGGTCGTTGTAAACGAGCTCATGGTGGCAGGAGTCTTGTTCTTGAAATATGTGATCAAGCAAGCCATCTGGCCACGATACTCGGACCGGACACCAATCTGAAGTTGTCCATCTTCGTACAGCACACCATCAGACCTGACCAGCAGCTTGTTGAACCCAGACTCCCATCCAGGTGACAGATGAGCAGCACTGGCCAGGTTCGGCGCCTTCAACATCTTGGGCTCGGATGGCGTAGGTGCGTTCATGTCGAGGCCAGCCAGATCGGACGCGCCATTGCTATGACCATTTGCCCCAGCCGCACCCTGGCCGTTCGACTTGCCATTCAGAGACACATTGGAACTAAAGGTCCTCTTAAGAGCTCCAGTTCCCATGCTAAGCTCCCTAGCGTCGGCGTTGGCATCCTTTCCTCCCACCACCCAGGTTCTTCGGTCACTCGTATTAGCATGCTTTTGGTGCAAACGAGACAGAAGTGCGGATTGTCTCTCGGGGAAGGGTGGCATCTCATCGCAGACGGTACGAAGGAGGTCGTCGGTCGGCATGCTTGCGAGAGTCATGTACTCGCAAGCTCTCTGCTGAAGCTCAGAGTCCAGGTTGTGACTGTGGAACTCGAACACGTGGATGAGCTGAGGTTTGATCTCAGGGAACAGGTTGACGTATTTGATGAAACATGAGAGAATCATAGCGCGAGTACTCGACGAGCACGCAGTTAGCTTGCTCTGAAGGGCGAGGAACTGCTCAATAGGGCTGCAACGAGGCTGGTCGGCGACCAAGTGACCAAACTCTCCCAGGATGTATGCACCAATCTTGACCAGGGTTTCATGACAATGATCACCCTTGACATACTGCAACGCATTTTGCGCCGCATAGACCTGGAGCTCCTCGTTGTTTGTCACAATCTGGATCACTCGCTGCCACACCTCGTCGCTGACGTGATCTCCGGCCATGGCGATGAGCCGTAGGGAGATGTCGACGTACCACTGCACGTCAGTAGCGTACTTTTCCGTAAGAATGGCGATCTTAAGGACCATTTCTTCTCGGATGGCAAAGTCGGCATTCTGCAGGTAGTGCAGCAGTTCGCCAACAATGACCTGCGCATTCGAGGCATCACACATGCTGTAGAGTAGATCAAGACCCTTGCGGCGGACACTGATATCTCGGTCCTTGAGGGAGCCCAGGATGATTTCTTGGTGCTGCTTGATAGGGTCAAGAGTTTCTGCTCGTGCGGCAAGATGGGTCATGGCCTCCAGGCCAAGATACCTCACGTTGGTTTCCCGGCTCTGGATGAATTTGCCCAGTCTGGTCGAGATTTGCTTCATCAAGCCATGTTCAGTGTCAAGGTGAATGATGAGATTGATGGCTTCGAAAAGAACCGCATTCTGGGCGTTGTTCTGTTGCACATTCTTATTGGTCTCCATGGCCAAGTTCAGGATCTTTTGCAGCGACTCTCGGATCATGTCCCGGACGTAGGTATCCTCTGATGATCTGTGTCAGCAACTACATTAACACACTTCAGTATTCGACATACCTGAAGGGGGGAAGTATTGAAGCAGCCGTAGCAGCTTGATCTGCAGCCAGGGGCAAGGAACCTTGTAGTAAAGGTAATCCGTCGTGTATTCCCCATCGATAAGGATTCGCTTCAGACGAGCAGCTGCCTTGGCATATGCTCCCTTGTATTGCTCCAAGTTGTCCTGCGCCAAGGTCATGACGAGCGAGGTCACGGACAGAGCAACGCCGAGATCGGAATCATCCATGAGGTGAATGATGCGCTCCGCCCATTGAGGAGATACGATGTCGGGGTGCTTGCGGTATAGTCGGAGTAGTGTCAAGGCAGCCTTCTTCTTGACAAAGGATTTGGAGGTTCTAGTGGCAAGGATCAGTAAGTCTTGTTCAACACGGGGGTACCGCTGGCGCATACGGAGAGATCAGGAGCCTGTGGACCTCTCCATTGAGAGCTTCACCCATCTCTCGGCTTCCAACATTGGCAATCGCATGGAGAGCAAGGCAATTGAATAGTTCGTTGTGGTCGAGCAGATCTTTGCGAATACTGTTGACGACAAGGTGCAGCAGTTCGTGCTTCTCGTGTAGGAACAGAGTCATGGCCAGATAACCGATCTGCTTCTCAGAGTACTTGTTGGCAGAGATCAGGTTGACAGCCTCGAGATGACCAAAATCGACGTTCCAGCCCAAGATGTAGATATACAGCAGCTTGCAGACGTATTTCTTCTTATGGTAGCCACTCAGGTTGCCATCCTTGAACTTCTGTCGGATATTGGCAAGCTCCTTGTTGATTCGCTTTTCCTCGAGTTCGCGCGCTCTCGCATTTCGAAGATCGGCGATGAACTGGACCAACCCGCGCATGTTCGCATTGCTGCTGCTCGAGCGGCCCAGAAAGCCCGTCCCTGAGCTCGACATGGTGACAGCTTCTGATGGCGTCCAGAGTGGTAGATTGCGGAAGACCCCTGATTATGGAAGCGGTGCGGTGCGGCGCGTTGGTGGCTCAGTTGGCCTCGTCCGACGAAAGAAGCGTAAGATGAAACAGAAAGATCTCCAAAACAGAGTATGGTCGCCTATCGCAGAGATCGCATAGTCGATTCGAGTTGCCCAGACAGCTCAGGCGCTGGACACCGATTGTTCGTCGATGAGATGGATGGGAGATTGCTCGTTGGAGGGGCGAGCTAAGCGGGAGATGCGGATGGGCGGTGCGTGGTGTGGACTAGGTTGGAGTTCAGGTTGCGGAAGGTGCCCCGTGGGCCAGGGAACAAGCGGATGCGTCGGGGGGTTAATCGACGGAGGATGCGACAAGATACGTGGAGGCGGGCGAAGCGACCAACTTGAGCGTGACGAGTTTGGCTGAAGGAAAGAAAAATAGGAGAAGTGAGAAGAAGAGGCGGAAGTGCCGTGGGATTGAAAACGGAGGTCAGGTTGGGTGCGTGTTCTTTCTTCCATGCCCGTTCAGGAGGGCCGTAGTCTAGGTCATCTCCAGTGAGCGAGCGACTCGACTCGGCCGTGCATTGGATGGAGGCCAGTCCAAGCCTAATGGGCTCCTGGGCCTTTAACGAGCCTGTCGTCTTCTTCCTGCTCCACGCCTGCAGGTGTGCCAACTGCCAGAAAGAGCCTACCACACGGTCGTTGAAAAAACGTGACACCAGGACGGCTGCGCTCAGTTAAGCCATTAAAGAGTATTCGCTGTATAGCATATTATGAGCTAAATCAGATATGAAAATAATAAATGATATTAAAGGTACTTGGATATTTCATTCATCTATTTTTCAGAATTTTCTTATATTTTATCTATCATACTCAAGGCATTTCTGGTGTCAGAAACTCGAGAGTCTTGATTTGGTGTCTCATCTTTTTTTGCGACTACATGCCCATCGTTTGAGTCGTCCTGGTCCGTGCGTCATCCACTTTAGAGCGCAGTCAACTGAAGAGCTCCAAATTCATCATGACTTTGGCTTGTCTATCAAAATTCCACCTCCATACATCCAGACCAACTACATAAATCTTTGAATTGTCTGTCACCGTCTGTAGATATACTCTACAGACCTCTGTGCCATGTCATTATGCACATCGTCATTATCCACAATGCGTTGTAGTTTGCGGGCATTGTCACGGCCTGCTAATCTTTGCCGCCCCATCTCAAACCAACGCTTCTACGCCGTTCAAGCTGCGGGTGCTCCCCGCTTTCAAGTCTTCAACCGACGAACAAAATGGCTTCAAAAGGAGCGTACTGCCATCAACCCTGAAGAGAGTCGGGAGGCTGATTACCTCAAGGATGAGGTTGCCATCCGTCTGTCTGAACGACTCCTTGTAAGCATCATCCTGTGTCGTTGGAACAGCCCACCCATGTCTAACCTTGTATCTAGGACATCAACCGACACTTCCCTCGAGTGCTAGATCTCGGTGCAAACTCTTGCAATATTGCGAGGGCTTTAGTCCAGGAGAACCCTGATCCTGATCCTGCGATGCCCGTCTCTCCACCCTTATCCACAAGGATCGATGAGTTGGTTGCCGCAGACTCCTCTCATTCACTACTCTATCGAGATGCCGATCTTGAGTTTAACAAGCAACTCAAGATTACACGGCAGGTCCTAGACGATGAGGAGACAGTTCCATATGAGCCAGCCTCATTCGATCTAGTGATGAGCTCATTGAGTCTTCATTGGATCAACGACTTGCCCGGTGTCCTCACTCAAATCAACAACATCCTTAAACCGGATTGTCCCTTTATCGGCGCCATGCTTGGAGGTGATACACTGTTTGAACTGCGTACTTCACTTCAGCTGGCCGAGTCAGAAAGACGTGGTGGCATGTCTCCTCGGGTCTCTCCGCTGGCTGATGTGAGAGACGTGGGTGGCTTGCTTCAGAAAGCCGGCTTCAAGATGTTGACCGTGGATGTCGACGACATTATTGTTGACTATCCCGATACATTTGCTTTGATGCAGGATCTCCAGGCCATGGGAGAAGGCAATGCCATCCTCGGGAGGGAGATGGGGCCTATCCAGCGAGATGTCCTTATTGCCGGTGATGCCATCTACCGCGAACTACATGGTAACCCGGACGGGACTATTCCAGCGACCTTTAGAATCATATACATGATCGGATGGCATGAGGGCGAGAATCAGCCAAAACCCCTAGCTAGGGGTAGCGGTCAAGTCAACTTGAAGGATATCTTGGAGCAAAAGTAGACCAGATGGGTAGATTGTTGTGTTTGTACACAACTGTAAATCAATGGCAAAATCCCGCGCGAGGGTAATTCCGCGCGGTTCGTGATAGTCGGTTTCCCCAGTCTATGGAATTCTCAGCCCGCTCGCCATCATTGTACATGCCGTCCTGTTCTACACCCTGCGCCAGTCCGTCATGGTTCGTCCGATGCAGCCCAGTCCAGCAACCTCGACAACCTTCTCGTGCCAGCTCAGGAGCACACTCATGGCCGTCGTCGCTGGCTCGTTCGCTCCGCCAGGTCGTCCTCCGATCTGAGAGAAGCCTGTGGGCTCAGGTGTGACCTTGTTTGGTGATCGCGAGGCGTTTCCAGGGTGAACCGTGGCCATTCCCTTGTAGCTGAGGACTTGTTAGAGTTGATTTCGGTATTTTCATTGAAGCAACGTACATGTACTTCATGAGCACGTCCAGGCACTCGGCGCCGCCCTCGGATGCGTAGAGGCTCTTGAGCAGGGGTGACATTTCGCTCGCCTTGATCGACTGGAGAACCTCGATGATAGTATGCAGGTGGGCGTCCTGTTGAAAGACATAAGTTGTTAGATCCTGCCCTTCCGGGGAGCTACCCGTGTCGGTCTGCGGGTTCAGCTTGACATACCTTAGCGGCATCTGTTCCATTGTAGACAGGTGTATCCAAGCATCCCCTCAAGGCGCCTTCGGGGTCGCCCCCCCTCAGAAGCTGCCGAACCTGACCCGCAAGCTGTCGCACTTCCGCCTCGTCGATCTCGGGCTGTGGGGGGTGGAGGGTAGAGGTGTCGAAGTTGACGCTGGAGTCCTCGTTCAGGGCATCGATGTTGATGGTGCGCCAGGCATCGCTAAGTGTCGCGCTGGTGTGCTGCTGGATGATTGACATTGTGGGCGGCTTTGTGTGTGTCTCGGGGTGCGGTGGTTGTGTTTGCAAGCTTCACGGAGCTCTGGCGGTATGCTTGGATAGCTGTCGGTGTCGGCGTGTTGAACAGGATGGATGTCCACCTTAGCTGCGTCAGCGATGGCGGGGTGGAGGTGAGGCTGGACAGGTGGCTGAGGTACTTGCCTAATTCGGTGGGGCCCGGCGACTGTGGTTCATGTTGAAGAATGCAGCCAAGTATGGTCTGGGGCTTCAGTCATGAATGTCAGTAAGTACAGAAGTTTGAATTACGATGAGCCTCTTGGCCTTTTTGGACATGCTCCAGGCGGCTCCTTCTTTGACTGATGTAGTTGAGTTGCATGTAAGCATTGAAGTGTACCTACTTGGAAGCTTGCTCAGGATTGAGTTGCCTCAGACCTCCCATCCACACGCAGACGATTGTTACAATAAGTACCTTGCTTCTGCGTGTGGTTTCCGTGGTTGAATAGCGAGGTTTTCCTTTCTATTTTACGGTCTCTGTCGTAGCAATTGAGGGGAGGCTCTACAAATACAACTGTCGCTGGGCCATGAAGTACTCTGTTACTGGCGTTGAGATACTTCAAGAAGCCAATTAGGCCTGTAATAAACACCCCTCTAGTACAGTAGATCCTGTGTGAGGATATCATGGCTCCAGTGCTATCTCGCAGAAGATGGGTGCGTGTATATGGTCATGCTTTGGTAAACACTTCGATGGAATTGAAAGACAAGTTCTGACCCGTCGATTCTTGACGAGGACAAGGACCAGCTAATACATCACGACAGGTATCTGGACAACCGCGAAGAACCATAGCTGGATAAATTCCATACACAAACAGCGGAAATACTAAAATTGAACGTCAGCTATTGTTCTGGCAAACTTGTCTTGACGAAGCTCAGCCCTCCCATCCAATCCTGTCTGCTCGGCTACCCTAGAGGCACACGCCGAGAGAACGCTGGCAGGAACGGCACCTGATTGCCAGATAAAGGCTCCTTCCCGAGCAAGATTTCCGGTGAAGCAAGGAGACCCCAATCGTATTCGGAACCCCAGCTTCAAGCACCAAAACTCAGCTCATACATCACTCGATTGATAACAGCCGATGCATGACCAAAGCAGTATCACGCCCAAAGACCTGATAGCCTACCCGGGAGTCTTCATCGATTTCGGTCACACTTACACGAAACGGCACGATCCGCGTCAAAGCCCACATCTGTCTCGCTTCAGGACCCGACGCAATGCTACCCATCTGGCGGTTGTTCGGGAGACGCTGTGCCACGCTGCTTCCCCGGACTACGAGATTGCCCCAACGGATAGGGGTCGCATTTCCCTGAGTCAGCAGCCCTGGAGGCTCCAAGGCGAGACCCAGCTCAGTTCGTACCCAGGAAGCTCGAACACGGCGTGTGGCTAATCCGCAGCGTAGATCAGGCACATGCACCCACAGTATCGACGCCCCAGAGGCTGTTGGGTTCTCTGGGCGTCGAGATCATCTCGATATCGATCATTCCGGGAGGGCGGCGCGGAAGGCATTGGATCCTGCGCCGACCCAAACTTGACTCGTTTGGCTCGGCCCATCGTCCGGGGAGCCCACCCGGTTCGAACGACACATGCGCTCACTCCAGAAAGAACAGCTGGCTTCGCAGATCGTCCTTCCAGAAGGTCCCTTACCTAATTAAGAGGCCTCTCCCTGTCCCCACAGCCGGACCAGGAACAACGGAGTTCATTAGGACGAAAATTTTTAAAATTACCCAGCGGATTCGACACGGAAGCCCTGCGCTCGCGGAAGCGGTTCCCCGGCGACATGAACCGTATCTCAATGGAGCAGTTGGCCTAGCTGGAAGTGCGCTCAAACGATATTCCAGAGGCTGGTAACGCCAGTGATCCGGGGATGCTAGACCAACGCGATGAAGGATGATGGGCACAGCTACGGACTTGCCTCCATTGAAGATCAACTGACGGCTTTGGTGCCCTTCGTGTTGGGTTGATGCCCAGCGCCCAGAGATCGCCACCGAATTCTTACAGAGTACCGAGTTGCGAACATCCGTGACGTTTCTGCGGGTCAGACACAACGCCCTGTTCCAGCAGCCCCGATCCTGATCTGCAGGACTGTTCGCTGAGGCTTCTGGAAGGCGGCCACAGGAGTTCTGCCCCAGTTGAACCTGGCGGTTGGGCGATGGCTTTGGGCCACATGTGTCATGGACCCGATAGGTGGACTTTGATGAAGACCCCACCATTTGTGATGCCAAGAAGGGTCCTCATCTCAGCAGCCCTCAGCCTTTGTCTGATACCTGCGCCCAGACGATTGTTGTCGCAGAGGCGTTGTACATGGTCGCGCCAGCATTGCCTCCGCGCCTGTCTAAGCCAATGCAGAAATTGGAGACACAGACACAACGCTACAAGCACGATCTACAAGCAGCCGGTCTACTTAGCAGAGAAGGCTGCGATAGTGTGATAACGCAAATCGATAGCTCCGAGCTCAGTGACAACAGGATGGTCCGGGCATACGATTACGCCTTCATCCCGAGCCAGTAGGCAACATGCCAGTCTCACCCCAGCACCATCTCCACGAAACGACTCCCGGCCTGCCCTCCGGGGCCGGGGTTTATTGAGACGGTGGGCATTCGGATCTAGCTACGGAGCATCTAAGCAAATGGCTTCTTCGACCACGAGATGAGGTTGGGGACGGATCGCAAAGGCCCGTGTGGAACGTCCATGTGGACGACGACGGATTCCTATCACACGATGACCCCTGGACTGAGAAAGGAACTTTCAGTTGAAGCAGATGAAGATGTCCCAGCTGGGTAGGTTGACTTCCATAGGCCGGTGGAGGCTTGCTGATCTCGGCAAGGATCCAGAGCGTTGGATAACAGAAGTCACATGACACTGAGGCACCACAACAGCATCCGACAGATGAGACCATAGGGCGTTCGCCTTCCCAATCATCTGACGTCGGTTTAAAACGAGACCTCATGGAACCGCCATCGAGAAGCGCCACCTGTGGATGCTATTGACGGAACGATGAGAGGGCTGGATGGAGGTTGGTATCCAACCGAATGGGCGACGCCAACCCCTGTTTCAAAGCCGAATATGGCGCTTGGAAATTGGCTAATGCAGGAACGCTGAAGGTTCGGGGCTTCGATGAGGCACTACGGTCTGCGCAACCCGCCACAACGTGTGGGCTGCCCGGCCGCGCTAGGGCGCATGTCCTGGGCCTACCCCTGAAGTTGCAGGACGGGAGTTGTTGGCAGTTCATCCCAATCCATGGTCGTCTCCACAAGATCAAGGCTGCCAAAATTGCCTGGTACGAAACCCAGACCGAAGAGACGTGCTGGAGCAGCTGACGCTTGGGACCACGGTCCTGGCGCTTGAGCGTTGACCCTTTGTTACAGTGCGCCCCAGCCTCATGCCCGCTGCTGACACGGTACGAAGTATCCTCGCGTGGAGCTTCAGGCCGACTGACAGCCTTCTGGAAAGTTTCCATGCAGCCCCGTTGGTCCACCGCGATGCCCACCGAACAAGGAGCCACGGTTGACCGACAAGCTGGGATGCTACAAAGTATACCTAGAGGGTTCCAGAAGTTCGTCTCGAAGGGAAAAAGAAAGAAAAACGGGGAGCACGTGCCCAGCCACTGGTCTGGTCTGCCGGTTGAGGTGTCGACAACCAGCAAACGTACGTTGCTCACAGGAGGTTGAAGCCAAGAGCCGCCTTTGCACTACTGTCAACGTCAACTGCCAACGTCAACTGTCACACGGTAACGATAGACGCGTGGAGAGTTGAGGCCGGCTCTTTGACGAATGGGACCGATGAAGCCAAGCTTGCACCGGTGCAGAGTTACCAAGTTGCGGGACGGCGACCCAGACTTAGGCGAGACCGGCAGTATTCCCGCTGCATGAGGCTGCAGGGTTGGGGTCTCTTGGAAGGGTAGGGTACTCCGAACAACAGGAAGGGATCCCTGGATGTCACTGACCTGACGACGTCTCATTTGGTAGCAGCTGAATGTGAAACAGCTATATTGCCTCGGTCCTCAATACATATTCTTCATTATGTTGAGGAAGCATGAATATGCTCGCTTGCTGATTCAAGCATGAATCTATTCTAGGCCACATGGAAGAATTGGCATCGCAGCTCATGTGGATGCCATCTCATTGGGACTGTATACAGACATATCAAGCGCTGTCATGGCGCCATGTCGTCAATGTCTCAAGACCAGATGGCCCGAGATTCACATTAGATGCCAACTAGGCAGCGAGATAACAGCCCCAAAGGTTCCGCTTCCCTGGGATTCGGTACCGCAAGCGGGTCGCATGGTTGCGATCCGAGAAGCGACTGGATGATTCGGCCGAAGAACTACCATGTCTACGATACACGGCAGTTTTTGTACGAGGGGGGCTGCGGCTACGAATGCGAATACCGCCCTCGCGCCTTTATCTAACATCACTGCATGGAATGAAGCGAAACCATGAGTGAATTGGATGTTCGGACAGACGGGCCTGAATCCTGCGACACTTTGCTACGCATAGTACGTACATTCAGAAACCGGACAGGGTGGGTAGCGAGGAGTCTCAAACCGGTGATGACAGCACTTCGCCAGTTTGGCCGACTGGCCATGGCTCAGTTGCCGGTCTGTGTGACACCCACCCGTTCGGGTCAGATGAGGATAACGACCTGGGCTCAGAGCTAATCGTGGCTAATTATGGAACATACGAGGGATAAGCTCAGCTAGCAGACCCTCGCTACAAGGACAGCAAAAGTTGCGAAGGAGCAGCAAGGACGATTATTCCCCGGCGGTGGGAAGAAACACGGAGAGAACAAGGTTGTGCAAACCACGACAAAGCAGTCTGAGATGCGGTGAACCAAAGCACTACAGGGATGCGTGGATGCTGTTTAGCTCTCGTTGGTTGAGAGGGAGCGAAGCAAAATGGATGAGTCCATCAACGAATGTCGGCCAACAATGACGATTGAATATCAATGGTTGACCTCCAATGATACCCTCAAAGTCCCCGCTTACAAAGGAAGGGGAGAGGAGAAAGGACGGATGGCGTTGCTACATACAGGGTAACAAAGGACCGCAGTTCTTTGAATC